ATATTTCTTTAAATGCGATGGAGGGGGCTTTTTTTCTTGTTCTTGTGTCGGTTGAACTGCGGCTCTTGGCCACAAACAAGGACTCAAACCGTGAAATTGCAACGTGTGCGGACACGTTGTCTGAGTGGGCAATTGTGGTGAACGAGTAAGGAATTTGTTTAAAAATAAAAATTTGGTTGGTTAGCGTGAGCACGAGAGCAGAGCTGCGGATGTGTGGTGGAAAACTCACTCACCACAACCTCATCACCACCTCATCATCACAACCTCATCACACAACCTCTTCACAGCAAACTCGTCAGTAAAACGCATTCCGCTCGCTGTGCGCAATTCGGAACGCCAGCGAATTATAGAAATAAAGCATCGAATGTTGCCTGCGTTTGTTATCGCAACGCAAGTTCTATATTGCCACGCGCCCCGCCATCACAACCAATGACCTTTGATAAAGGGTGGGCGGATCGGTGCGGTGGTGTGGGTGGATGAGTGCGGTGGGATGGGTGGGTTGTTCGGTTGGGTGGGTTGGGTTGGTGGTTTGGGTTGAGTGGTTGGGTTGGTGGTTTGGGTTGGGTGGGTGGTTTGGGTTGGGTGGTTTGGGTTAGGTGGGTGGTTTGGGTTGGGTGGGTGGTTGGGTTGGGTGGGAGGGTTGGTGTTTGGGTTGGGTGGTTGGGTTGGGTGTTTGGGTTGGGTGGGTGGGTGGTTTGGGTTGGGTTGGTGGGTTGGGTGGGTGGGTGAGTGGGTTGGGTGGGTGGGTGGTTGGGTTGGGTGGGTTGGGTTGGCTGTTTGGGTTGGGTGGGTGGTTTGGGTTGGGTTGGTGGGTTGGGTGGGTGGTTGGGTGGTTGGGTTGGGTGGGTGAGTGAGTGGTTGGGTTGGGGTTTGGGTTGGGTGGGTGGTTTGGGCTGGGTTGGTGGGTTTGGTGGGTTCGGTTGGTGGATGGGAAGTGGTGGGTGGGTTTGAGTGGGTAGATGCTTGAATCAGGTAGGTGCCTGAGTGTGGGTCTCATTCGCGTCACGAATAAAATAAATCAACGAGCCGTAAATGTGGAACGAGCTTTTACCGAATGTGTCGGAGTAAGCGGAATGTGTCTTTCTGCTTATTGTGCAAGTTGGTCGCGTTGAGACGGAGAAGACCACGATCCTTCATCTACTTACGAATCGTTTTTTTTATTCGTCCGCTGGACACAACCGGTCTCGTTGGTGCCAATGCACCACGCCAACTGCTTCCTTCCTTCTGCCGGACATGCCACCTGTTGCACACGTGGCACCTGTTGCACACGCGTGCCACCTGTTGCACACACGTGCCACCTGTTGCACACACGTGCCACCTGTTGCACACACGTGCCACCTGTTGCACATGTGGCACCTGTTGCACACACGTGCCACCTGTTGCACACACGTGCCACCTGTTGCACACGTGTGCCACCTGTTGCACACGTGGTATACCTGTTGCACACGTGCCACCTGTTGCACGTGTGAGCCACCTGTTGCACACGTGCCACCTGTTGCACACGTGTGTGCCACCTGTTGCGCACGCGTGCAACAGGTGGCACACGTGTGGTTGTCCTCGTTATAGCCCAGCGGTTCTTCACCTGTTGACTTGCAGCCTTGCACCCCTTTGGTTTGCAATCGTTTTTAAAAAAAAACTGTTTGTTTGTTAATAAATACGTTGTTTTGATGAAACAAAGTCGTGTTTGCTTCTCCGTGCCCGTGCTTAATTTGTGTTTTCGATGAGTTTACCTTCAAAAAAAAGATCTGGCCACGTCTCGCACCCCCCAGAAAGGGCATCTCGTACCCTCAGCGGGTGCACCCCAGGTGAAGAACCACTGCCATAGATTTCGATTTAAAGTTTTCGTGACTGCAGGGATTCATCTTCTTGGTTCTGACTTTACCGAAAGAACCAAGAAGATGAATCACTGCCATAGACTCACCCCCACCACCACCACCAGCAATGAACGTGCTGCTCAATTGAGGACATCTCTGACTTTGCGTCGTTGTTGACCGTCTGTCTCTGTGCCTCTGCCTGTGCCAGTCTGCAATGCCCCTCGACCCGCCTGCCTCTGTCTACCGAGCTATCTGTCTGTGTGTGTGTCTCGCTGGCACCCTGCCCACTCGTGTCAACGCCGCTGTGTGCTGCATGGACGCACTGGGGCACAGCACCGCAACCCATTGGCTCAGTGACATTTTCAACTTTAGGGGGGTAGCGCCAATCGGTCAAGTGGGGGGGTGGGCCCGGGGGGGTGGGCTCCCCAATTTATTTGTTCCGTCTCGCACGCTCGCACCTCGGCTATGACGTCTCGCGCCTCCTCATCGTCGTTACGCTCACACGGTCTCGGACACTTAACGCTGGAGGGGGCGCTGCGTCTGCGCACAAATAAGTTGCTTCGTTCATTGACACCGTTGTTAAAAAACATATCTCAAATTCTTAGGTTTTTTCGGTAAAGTAACGTAGGTAAAAAAATTTAAATTAACAAAAGTAAAATAAAAAATCACGACGTTTCGGAGGCAACGCAAGCTTCCGTCTTCAGGTGGAACCGTCACAGCACGATAGCTGTATCAAGTGAGAGAAATTCCAAGAACACAGTATTTGTATATATACTGGTTGAGGGTGGGAGGAGCCAAGGTAGACCCTGGATATTATTTTTGTGATGGACTGTGTTCTTGGAATTTCTCTCACTTGATACAGCAATCGTGATGTGACGGTTCCACCTGAAGACGGAAGCTTGTGTTGCCTCCGAAACGTCGTGATTTTTATTTTATTTTAATTTTACTTTCATAAATTTAAAAAATTTCCCCACGTGACTTTATCGAAAAAAACCTAAGAATATGAATCCTTGCAGTCACGAAAGCTTCAAATCTAGAACATATCTCAAGGTGGCTGTCAAGGGAGCTCCCCAAACCCACCCTCCCAACCCCCAACTCGTAGCTTTGGCCACGTGGATTGGAAGCGTGGACGATGATCTTCAACACGAGCAGCGAATGTGCCGCCCGCTAAGACCGGCCGGGAGGTTGGCAACCTGCGGGTGTCTGGAGCCACGCGCTGTGGCTCTTTAAGGGAACGCAGTGCGGCTCTTGAAATTCGAAAAAAGCAAACGTGGCTCTTCTTGTTACTTTGGTTGCCTACCGGTTTACCATGGGAGTCCAGTTTACCATAAGAGTCCAGTTTACCATGGGAGTCCAGTTTACAATGGGAGTTCATTTTACAAATGGAAATCCAGTTTACCATGGCAGTCCAGTTTACAATGGCAGTCCAGTTTACCATGGCAGTCCAGTTTACAATGGCAGTCCAGTTTACCATGGCAGTCCAGTTCACCATGGAAGTCCAGTTTACAATGGCAGTCCAGTTTACCATGGGAGTCCAGTTTACCATGGCAGTCCAGTTAACCATGGGCAGGGGTCGTCCATTGTCAACACGGTGGGGAGGTGAGGTGGGAGGGTGGGTGGGGCAGGGTTGATTCTGAAACTGTTGGGGGAGCGGTGGGGGAGTCATGGGTGGCGGTGGCGGTGGGAGGGCAGGTTTGGCATTTGGCTGCGGCACGCGACTTTGTAAACACAAACTTCTGCTTTTTTTGCCCTCCACTTTTTCAGTCGGCGTCTGCAAAACCCTTCCAGCCCAGCCCCCCCCAAGGAAAGTGGAACACGGCAAGCTGCACCGACGGCCACATTGCTTACGTCTGCACGGCCGACCTTGTGTGTGTGTGTGTGCGCGCGTGCCTCCCCTAGGTCGACTCAGCCTCAACTGAGTACCTGGGTGCGGTGCGTAAACATGGGTGGGTGAGTGGGTTAGTGAGTGAGTGGGTGAGTGAGTGGGTGAGTTAGTGGGTGAGTGGGGGGGGGGGTGGGTGGGATTTTTTTAAAGCTGGTGGAGGGGACCATAGATTGAGGAGCACAGTGCAGTACAACGATTGACTCGATGCACTTGCACTCTGCTCACAACGCTGCAAGCAGCAACCTACGGGCACCAGCTCCTGGCTTTGCGGGCGCCCCATCCAAAAACACTCTCCAAGCTCAACTCTGCTTAGCTTAAGATCTGACGATGCATGTGCGTGGCGTTGAAAGATGTTGGTGGTCATGTATTTGTTATCTCCATATGTATAAAAGGCAAAGTAGTGAATGTGTGTCTGTTCAAAATGCCATGTGGGTACTTTCCAGACTGTACGCCATGCACAAATTATAAAAAGTATAACCCGTAAAAACATAGTTTTTCACTCTAAATCCTTTATATGCGTGGCGGCTAGAGTCCTCTCGTCCTCTGGCTTGAGATGGCTGCCACCTATGGGTCAGATGATTGTCTGCCAGTATGTAAAATTTTTGAATTTTTTTTCACGAACATTAATTGTCTCGCACAACGAGTCTGTGTGCAAAATGTCAGCTCGATTGGATCACGGGAAGTGGGTTAAAAAACGACCGAAAGGTTTGCACGGTCGTAAGCAAGCACGCAAGCAAGCAAGTGAACTTAATATAAAGGATTTAAAAATACACTTTTGTTTTTTAGGAGGGGGGGGGGGAGCTCAATAATGCATATATTTTTTACACGGCAAGTGAGCTGTGACGTCACATCTGTCATGTGACCCGCGCCTGTGGAAGCGTAACGCAGTGCAGTGTAGTGGTTAGCGCGCTGCGCTACGAACCCGGCGACCCGAGTTCGATTCCCGCTCACGGCCACCACCGGTGACGATTATTTTAACCGCTCCTGGGCCTCCCCTAGGTCGACTCAGCCTCAAACGAGTGTGTGGTGTGTGAACATCGCCACTGGGGAGACAAAGGCGGCCGGGCGTGGCGAATCCAAGTCCCGGGCGAAGCCGGGTAGCAAAGCTGGTCCATTATATCGGTGTGTTTGGGGTCAGATCGTGTGTCGTTAAACCTGCCACCAAACGACACAGCTAATTAGTAAGCTTTGTCACGTAAACAGAACATGCAAATTCGTTACTAGTTCAGCACACCGGTGTGTTGGAGAGCAAATCCAACTAGTGACGAATTGGCCACGTTCTGTTTACGTGACAAACCTTACTAATTAGCTGTGTCGGGTGGTGGCGGGTTTTACGACACATTTATATTTACGCGATCTAACCCAAAAAAAACTATATTATGGATGACATTGCTCGCGAAAGCCTGCTACCTATTAAAATTGATTAGTTGGTTGCTCAAGGTACGTCATATTTCATCTGTGTTCGTCAGTGCAAATTCATCCCTCCCCCCGCCCCGAGCGATAACAAACAGGTAGGCGGCGGACATCGGCGTGAATTCGCAGCCACTCCCTCTGCAATCCGCGCCACAAAGCTAAGCTGGCCGGGAAAACTCTGCATATCGGACGCAATTCGCGTCTTACCAGCGAGTGGCGTTCCGAAATGGGCAGGGCGCTCCAGGGAGCTGTCCTCCTGAACGGAACCATCAGGGGCGAGAGCGCATCGAATCGGGGAGCGAGTGGTGTGGGAAGCGATTTTAATTTTTGTTAAACGAACGCGACTTTAACCATCAGCACTGCAAGATTATGGCAGTGTTTTTAAAAAAGAACACTCGATTGTTTTAACAGCACAAAGTGGAATCTACAGCAAAACGGGAGTGAACTTACGCTAAAGCGTTAGTGGAACCTTACGTGCGTTCACCCGCGTGTGTGTCACAATGGTGAACGTGACCAACACAACCCACACACGTTGAACAACAAGTAACAAGGGCAATATTCATCACATTGGTCTCGTGCAATTCATAATTAGTGTCTTTTGGGAACGGTTCGTCGCGTAGGTTATAACGTCAATTTGTTTATATCAACAACTCACAGCCACAAACTTGGTTTCAATTGTTTTGTTAACCTGAACAAGAATTGTTTATTTGTACGTTAAATCGCGTGGTGATGGCGCTTTGGGTGGTAGGTTCGTGCCAGAAAGCCCTCCGCCTCCTCCATCCAACATCATCACCACCACCCACCCAGCCCTCCTCCTCCATTCAACATCATCACCACCCAGCCCTCCTCCTCTGGTATCTCGTTTGCACGCATCGTGACAACTCAACGCCACTGCCTACAGTCTTGGGCTGTGGTCTGCGAGTCTCTATGTAACTCTATGGGTCTCTATGTAATGCTACGGATCTGTAAGTAACTCTATGGGTTTCTATGTAACTATGTAACTCTACGGGTCTTTATGTAACTCTATGGGTCTCTATGTAACTCTATGGGTCTCTATGTAACTCTACGGGTCTTTATGTAACTCTATGGGTCTCTATGTAACTCTATGGGTCTCTATGTAATGCTACGGATCTGTAAGTAATTCTATGGGTTTCTATGTAACTATGTAACTCTATGGATCTCTATGTAACTCTACGGATCTCTATGTAACTCTATGGATCTCTACGTAACTCTATGGGTCTCTATGTAACTATACAACTCTACGAATCTCTATGTAACTCTATGGATCTCTATGTAACTCTACGGATCTCTATGTAACTATGCAACTCTACGGATCTCTATGTAATGCTACGAATCTCTACGAAGGCAGCGGAAGGCACTGGAAGGCAGCAGCGGTTTGGTGGAGAGGGGGGAGGGGTGAAAGGCGGATGTCAAATGGCGCCGAACAGCGCCACCTCCGACAACTCGCAGGGCCCGGCGAGCCAGGCGGGTGCGGTGCGGACGAGGCAAGGCAGAGGCCCCAGCGAGGAGCCCAGCAAGGCCTCGGGGTCGTAGCCCTACGGGAGAAGCAATGGGCTCAATTTTGATTTAAAGCTTTCGTGACTGCAGGGATTCATCTTCTTGGTTCTTTCGGTAAAGTCACGTAGAAGGGAAATAATAAAATAATAAAAATAAAACATTTTTAAATAATTAACTTTCGATTTAAAGCTTTCGTGACTGCAGGGATTCATCTTCTTGGTTCTTTCGGTAAAGTCACGTAGAATGGAAATAATAAAATTAAAAAAATTAAACATAATAAAATAATTCAATTTCGATTTAAAGCTTTCGTGACTGCAGGGATTCATCTTCTTGGTTTTTTCGGTAAAGTCACGTAGAAGGGAAATAATAAAATAATAAAAATAAAACATTTTTAAATAATTAACTTTCGATTTAAAGCTTTCGTGACTGCAGGGATTCATCTTCTTGGTTCTTTCGGTAAAGTCACGTAGAAGGGAAATAATAAAATAATAGAAATAAAACATAATAAAATAATTCAATTTCGATTTAAAGCTTTCGTGACTGCAGGGATTCATCTTCTTGGTTCTTTCGGTAATGTCACGTAGAAGGGAAATAATAAAATAATAAAAATAAAACATCTTTCAATTATTTTACTATTTCCATTCAATGGGTTCAACGCGAGCCCGTGGAGAGATTGTGTGTCGGCTGATCTTGGTGATGATGGAAAAATCTATCAGATGATGATGATCATGACCAAAATAGATGATGGTGTTCATTGTAATGGATGATGGAGAGATTTTGATTATTTGAATGCATTATGACGACGATAACTCGCATGCATGAATGACGGCGATTAGTGCAGTTGAGTGTTGACGATGACGATGAAATTAACAGATTATTATTTTAAGAAACGACTTCGATGATGATGATGATGAATTTAACGGAGAATGATTAAATCGATGAACGACGAGCATTCGACGACTATGGCGGCGATACCGTTGCTGGAAAGCGCCCTGGAATCAGGCGCTATAGACATCGAGACGAGATGAGATGGAACGCCGGCTTGTGGAACGCCAACTCGCGACCCGCCACAACCGCCCGCTAACGGATGTCGAGACAACCCGGGAGAAGTGAATTCAATCACCGGGCCACGGTAACGCTTTGAACGACGGTTAAACCCCTAACCCCCCCCCAACCCCTGTCCCCAATGTATACCTCGTCGAAGAGGGAGAGCCGTGCAGGCAGCAGCTTTGAGATGGTCAGCTCCAGTAGCTGTAGGAGAGACGTCGGCACGCGTACAGACGCAAGAAAAACAAATTAAGGAGTTTTCATTTCAAAGGGAAACTTCTATGCTCCCCCCCCCCACCCCCCGCCCGGCGGCAACATCTAACATCAATCATTCCGGTGCCCGGTTGTGGTTTTAGAAAAAAAAAATTTAGCCTAGGGGACCCCCGCCGCCCTCTCTGCATGTCAGCTGGCCCTGTGCAGCACAAGGGGTGACGGTGGCAGCAGCACCGGCCTGCGAGCGGGGGGTGGGGGGGGGGGCGATGTTGCGATTCGTCATTCCGATTTAGTAATTTGCGGGCGACTTTTCTGATTCTGAAAATGTAGATGGCGACACCAGAAGATGCATCGGAATCCATACTCTTTGGTTCTTTCGGTTTAAGTCACGTAGGTAGATTGCTTGTGTTGCGATCTGAATGTCGCGATCTATTATTTTTCCACCTACACGACTTTACCGAAAGAACCAAAGAGTGTGGATTCCTGCAGTCGCGAAAGCTTCCAATCAAGAATGCATCGGAATGTTTTTTTGACACTGGGGGAATCCGATGAGCTATGAAGCGCTTTGTTCACAGATGTCAAGTAGGGGCACGGGGTCAGAACGTTAAAACAACAAACAGTACGAAAACACGATAGGAGTGAGAAGTATAGGAAAAGTAAACAAATCACTTTAAAAATACAAATAAAACCAAATAATTTTTTATCCTACCAGGTAAAGCCTACTGAGCGATTCGCTTCTTTTTCAGACGCGAACCTGGCCACAGATGATAGCTCAACGAAGTCGCTCATCGCCACGGGGAAAATTTACAGCAGCAAAATAATAAATAAGCAAATCTAGACGCACGCTTCTAAATGTGACCTTGCACGGGCGATGAGTAGACGGATGCGACAGTGGCAGCATTGGACCGCGGTGGGATTCGTGGCGGCGTGGGGGAAGAAGTGCCATCATCCAGCAGTGGATTGAGCATGGGCAGGTGGAGATGATGACGAGGCACCGACCTTGAGATTGGCGCAGCGGTTGGGGCCGAGCGAGCGGCAGGAGAGCAGGACGGAGAGGTTCGTCCTCTGAGCAGGGTTCAGCACGATGGCGTCGCAAGGCACGCAGTGCAGCACTTCCCCGCTGACACACACAAAGACCCCCCCCCCCCCGTGTAACTTTCAACAGACTGCCGGGGCAAGCGCTGTTAGCGACCACCTATGAAGGTAGGCACGGCACACGTGGGGGTTGGTGGCCAGAACCACGCCCGACCGCCTTTGTCTCCCCGGTGGCGATGTCGACTGCACACCGCGCCAGGTACCGAGGAAACCAGTGAGAACCGGGAGGTAACGGACGGAGAACGTATCAAGCAAACTCCGCGCGGAAAAACGTGTTGGGAATCACAGGGTGTCACCGCCGCCTGGCACTGCCACCCTGCCACCCTGCCACCCATTCGTGGGCCTGGGCATGACGGACGGACGGACGGTGGGATGGACGCCACGGAGGAGGGAGCCTCACCTGAAGTTGCGCGTCTTCTCCAACTGCTTGCTCCCGCACCGATCGCACGTCAGCCAGGAGAAGGCGTTCTCCTCGTCCACGCCAATTATCACCCCTGCGCAAAAACACACACGCAAAGATCCCCCCCCCAACCCCGGCAAGTGCTGTTAGTGAGTAGCGTCCGTGAAGGCCGGCACGGCGCACCTATTCGGGGGTGGGGTGGCCGACCCCATGCCCAGCCACCTTTGTCTCTCCCCCCCACCCCCACCCCCTCCACCACCATGCCTCCCACCTTCAATGCCACAGCCCCTCACACTACCCATTCAGGATGTGTTTTTTACAGACCGCAATAGGTACTTGTTTAAGGCCGTGCAGACCTAGGGGAGGCACGGAACTGGGTCGAATGTTTGCCACCGTTATTGGCCGTGAGCGGGAATCGAACTCGGGTCGCCAGGTTCGTAGCGCAGCGCGCTAACCGCTACACCACCGCAGACACACACACAGACACACACACACAGTCACACACCGACACACAGAATGTAACTGGCATTGGCCAAAACATCCCAAGGAATGCTGAAACCAAAAATTCACCTGCAAATTACTCAATGGGGATGATTTCACACAGTGGTAGCAGCAACAGTAGCAGCAAGATCGCCCACCTTTCTACTTCAAACAATTGGCAGGACCCTCCTGAATAAAAAAAGTATTCAGACTTAGTGAAAATTTCCTTGGATAAACAAGTGTAGTATTGTAACAGCGAGTAGTTAACACCACTACACAAGCACAAATAATATTTTTTTCAAGAGGCTCCTATTTGGCAATAAAGAAATATTACAATGGGAATCATCCAATTCCTCTCCCATAGCGATCAGTGACTGGGCTGAAACAAATTATAGCAAAGGTAAGTAAATGACTTTTAAAAAATCTATACAAAAAGACCTATTTTTATCTTACCAGGTAAAGCCCACTGAGCTATTAGCTTCTTTTTCAGAAGCGACCTGGCCACAAATGATAGCGCAACGAAGTTGGCTCATCACGTGGGAATTTCTAGCAGCAAAATAACGTGAATAATCTAGACGCACGGTTCTAAACGTGGAGGGAAAAGCACGAGAGGACCCGGAGAAAAAAATCCACGCGACCACGGGGAGAACACGCCAACTCCAAATATAGAGACATCGTCAGGGTCGGGATTGAACCCCCGACCTCCTGCATACCAGGCGAGGGGGTAACATCTCCTAGCCACCGTGGTGAACCCACTACTCGCCAGTCCGCCCAGCCACCTAACAAACACCACGATGAACACGACTTTAAAACTATGGGTTTCAATAAAAGTGATCATAGTAATAATAATAAAGAATTCAATGGGCCATTGCCTGCAACACAGACACGGATCTCGTATAATATTTACAAGAGTAGGAGGGGTGGGGGTGGGAAATCAACAACACCACTCACTCATACTTCGACCACTGCCAAAAAAAGTTGGGAGTTTTTTTTTTTTTGCAAACAAAACCGTTCAAAGTCCAGTAAACTATCACTGCCATAAAATGTTCCAACCCCACACACCGCCGCAGCCGCCGCCACCACCCACCCCCCTCCCACCCACCCTCATCGTTGTGATGCTGAGTTCACCTCCCAATTCCCAACCCCCCCAACCAACCAACAACCGACCCCCACAACCACGACCAAAACGAGGGTCGCACGGGGCGGATTTAGGTGCCGCTGCGTCTGTTCAGCTTCTGCCCGGACGTACGGCGGGCCGTTCGGCGCGACTGTCCGACGTTTCACCGCAGTCCCGTGCCGGGAGCTTCTCCAGGAAACCGAAGCGAGCAGCTCACGTTCATAGAGCATTGCCGGCCGCTGTCGATCGGACCGTCTCTCAGCACCGATTAGCTGCGGTAACAACAGCATTGGCCAGACTACGCCAGGGAGCTTGAGCCGACCCAATCGGGAGCCAGGGAGCGGCCACATCAGCAGCAGTAGCCGCGGCAATGCGACATAATCGGGGGGGAGAGGGGATGGGGGGGGGGGATAATTAATCCGCTAAATGCGGTTTCCGAATCAGCTCCCAGAACGCGGGGTACGAAACGTTGGACATCGTGCCCGGACGTCGTGTGGAACAACCCCCGAAATGGCCAATCGGAGAGAGCTGTGCAGCCGCGGCACAGCTGTGAAATCCGACGCGGTGGCATCGCTGCGTTAAAACAACGCGCGTGTAGGGTGACCTGGGTGGAACAGGGGGTCGGTGAAACTGAGCCGGCCGGCACTGCTGAGATTGCTGGGTTCAAGTCCGGGTTTCAGCCGCACAAATGCTAGTGCTTAAAAACTGGGTTCTCAAGTGTAGAGATTCAATGGACTCGGTCAGCAATGTCTTGCATTGAGCCCCACGGACTCGCACAGCGAGACGTAGACTCACACAGAGACACATAGACTTGCAGATGCACCCACAGACTTACATAGACACCCATAGACTGGAGACCCACGGACTTACACAGAGACACGTAGACTCACACAGAGACCCACAGACCTACGTAGAGAACCATAGACTCAAGACCCATAGACACACACAGAGACCCACAGACCTACGTAGAGAACCATAGACTCAAGACCCATAGACTCACACAGAGACACATAGACTTGCAGATGCACCCACAGACTAACATAGACACCCATAGACTGGAGACCCACGGACTTACACAGAGACACGTAGACTCACACAGAGACCCACAGACCTACGTAGAGAACCATAGACTCAAGACCCATAGACACACACAGAGACCCACAGACCTACGTAGAGAACCATAGACTCAAGACCCATAGACTCACACAGAGACACATAGACTTGCCGATGCACCCACAGACTTACATAGACACCCATAGACTGGAGACCCACGGACTCACACAGAGACACGTAGACTCACACAGAGACCCACAGACCTACGTAAAGAACCATAGACTCGAGACCCATAGACTCACACAGAGACACAGACTTGCCGATGCACCCACAGACTTACATAGACACCCATAGACTGGAGACCCACGGACTTACACAGAGACACGTAGACTCACACAGAGACCCACAGACCTACGTAGAGAACCATAGACTCAAGACCCATAGACTCACACAGAGACACATAGACTTGCAGATGCACCCACAGACTTACATAGACACCCATAGACTGGAGACCCACGGACTCACACAGAGACACGTAGACTCACACAGAGACCCACAGACCTACGTAGAGAACCATAGACTCAAGACCCATAGACTCACACAGAGACACATAGACTTGCCGATGCACCCACAGACTTACATAGACACCCATAGACTGGAGACCCACGGACTTACACAGAGACACGTAGACTCACACAGAGACCCACAGACCTACGTAGAGAACCATAGACTCAAGACCCATAGACTCACACAGAGACACATAGACTTGCCGATGCACCCACAGACTAACATAGACACCCATAGACTGGAGACCCACAGACTCACACAGAGACACGTAGACTCACACAGAGACCCACAGACCTACGTAAAGAACCATAGACTCAAGACCCATAGACTCACACAGAGACACATAGACTTGCAGATGCACCCACAGACTTACATAGACACCCATAGACTGGAGACCCACGGACTTACACAGAGACACGTAGACTCACACAGAGACCCACAGACCTACGTAGAGAACCATAGACTCAAGACCCATAGACTCACACAGAGACACATAGACTTGCAGATGCACCCACAGACTTACATAGACACCCATAGACTGGAGACCCACGGACTTACACAGAGACACGTAGACTCACACAGAGACCCACAGACCTACGTAGAGAACCATAGACTCAAGACCCATAGACACACACAGAGACCCACAGACCTACGTAAAGAACCATAGACTCAAGACCCATAGACTCACACAGAGACACATAGACTTGCAGATGCACCCACAGACTAACATAGACACCCATAGACTGGAGACCCACGGACTTACACAGAGACACGTAGACTCACACAGAGACCCACAGACCTACGTAGAGAACCATAGACTCAAGACCCATAGACACACACAGAGACCCACAGACCTACGTAGAGAACCATAGACTCAAGACCCATAGACTCACACAGAGACACATAGACTTGCCGATGCACCCACAGACTTACATAGACACCCATAGACTGGAGACCCACGGACTCACACAGAGACACGTAGACTCACACAGAGACCCACAGACCTACGTAAAGAACCATAGACTCGAGACCCATAGACTCACACAGAGACACATAGACTTGCCGATGCACCCACAGACTTACATAGACACCCATAGACTGGAGACCCACGGACTTACACAGAGACACGTAGACTCACACAGAGACCCACAGACCTACGTAGAGAACCATAGACTCAAGACCCATAGACTCACACAGAGACACATAGACTTGCCGATGCACCCACAGACTTACATAGACACCCATAGACTGGAGACCCACGGACTCACACAGAGACACGTAGACTCACACAGAGACCCACAGACCTACGTAGAGAACCATAGACTCAAGACCCATAGACTCACACAGAGACACATAGACTTGCCGATGCACCCACAGACTTACATAGACACCCATAGACTGGAGACCCACGGACTTACACAGAGACACGTAGACTCACACAGAGACCCACAGACCTACGTAGAGAACCATAGACTCAAGACCCATAGACTCACACAGAGACACATAGACTTGCCGATGCACCCACAGACTTACATAGACACCCATAGACTGGAGACCCACGGACTTACACAGAGACACATAGACTCACACAGAGACCCACAGACCTACGTAGAGAACCATAGACTCGAGACCCATAGACTCACACAGAGACACATAGACTTGCAGATGCACCCACAGACTTACATAGACACCCATAGACTGGAGACCCACGGACTTACACAGAGACACGTAGACTCACACAGAGACCCACAGACCTACGTAGAGAACCATAGACTCAAGACCCATAGACACACACAGAGACCCACAGACCTACGTAGAGAACCATAGACTCGAGACCCATAGACTCACACAGAGACACATAGACTTGCAGATGCACCCACAGACTTACATAGACACCCATAGACTGGAGACCCACGGACTCACACAGAGACACGTAGACTCACACAGAGACCCACAGACCTACGTAAAGAACCATAGACTCGAGACCCATAGACTCACACAGAGACCCACAGACCTACGTAAAGAACCATAGACTCGAGACCCATAGACTCACACAGAGACCCACAGACCTACGTAGAGAACCAGAGACTAGAGACCCATAGACTCGTCTCAATGTAAGTCTGTATCTCTGTGAGTCTATGTGTCTCTATGTAAGTCCATGGGTCTCTGTGTAAGTCTGTGGGTGCATATGCAGTCTATGTGTCGCTGTGCAAGTCCGTGGATCTCTGTGCAACGCACTTCTGACTGCGTATAAGTTTAGGACTCACATATAGACACACACGGAATCACGAAGAATGCGCTGTGTAACGAAATGATAGTCACAGCACGGTAACCAACGACCGCACAAACAACCCACCGCGGGAAATCTTCTCGCAACGCAGCGCGACCCGCAGAAGCGGATGTCACAGAGCTGCTTCTGACATCGCTCCAAGTGACCTTTGTTCCGCACCGTGAGGGGGTTGCAGTAGTCAAGTGAATTTATCTTTTGATTGCGCAGGGCGCCGTTCGGGCAACAATGTGTCCGTTATGCCACTGAGAGTAACGGGCGCCTCGTGACTGTAAAACGGATCATTATTTTTTGACAGATTCAGCCAAATTTAGTGCAGAACCAAATTTAATGTGAACTGGTTTTGTTGTTGTTGTTGTTGTGCTCGTGTAAGTGCCAGATGGGGCTGAGACCAGCGACTCACTGCACTTGAGAACCTGGATTCAAACCCAGGACCTCACTGCCAGGGGCGTGCAAAAGCGTGGCCCAAAAAGCACTCCACCACTATCATCGGTGACAAACGCCGGCTTTTAAAACAAACTGTACACAGTTATTGGGTGATGCTACTGCTGCGTTGGAAGTGGTGCATAAGCACAATTAATAACAGCCACTCCGCACGCTCGTCCATAATAACACTGTGGCCTGAATAACATTGTGGCTACCCAATCCTACCCAGCCAATCCTACCCACCCGATCCTACCCAGCCGATCCTACTCAACCGATCCTACCCACCCAATCCTACCCACCCAATCCAACCCACCCAATCCTACCCACCCGATCCTACCCAGCCGATCCTACCCACCCAATCCTACCCACCCACCCAATCCAACCCACCCAATCCTACCCACCCAATCCTACCCACCCAATCATACCCACCCAATCCTACCCAGCCAATCCTACCCACCCGATCCTACCCACCCAATCCTACCCACCCGATCCTACCCACCCAATCCTACCCACCCAATCATACCCACCCAATCATACCCACCCAATCCTACCCACCCGATCCTACCCACCCAATCCTACCCACCCAATCATACCCACCCAATCATACCCACCCAATCCTACCCACCCAATCCTACCCACCCAATCATACCCACCCGATCCTACCCACCCGATCCTACCCACCCAATCATACCCACCCAATCCTACCCACCCAATCCTACCCACCCGATCATACCCACCCAATCATACCCACCCAATCCTACCCACCCAATCCTACCCACCCAATCATACCCACCCAATCCTACCCACCCGATCCTACCCACCCGATCCTACCCACCCAATCATACCCACCCAATCCTACCCACCCAATCCTACCAACCCGATCATACCCACCCGATCATACCCACCCAATCCTACCCACCCAATCATACCCACCCAATCATACCCACCCAATCATACCCACCCAATCATACCCACCCGATCCTACCCACCCAATCCTACCCACCCAATCATACCCAGCCAATCCTACCCACCCAATCCTACCCACCCAATCCCACCCACCAGATCCTACCACCCACCCAACGCCAGAAGTTGACCCGGTGACGACCAGTACCTTGCACCAAGCACAATGTGTTTTCCGGGCTAGTGGGCGACAGCCAGTCCAGCAGCGGAGTGTCCTGGAGAGCCGCACTGGCCGTGGGCTTTGTGGCGGCATGGCTGGAGAAGAGGATGAGGCTGCCCTCCGTGGCAACGAGGCGGTCTGTGTGGGCACACGCGCACCTTTGCGTTAGCCTCAGGAAAAGCAATGATACAGCTATCGTGCTGTGACTGTTCCACCTGAAGACGGAAGCTTGTGTTGCTTCCGAAACGTCGTGATTTTTATTTTATTTTTATTTAAACTTTTAATTTTTTTACCTACGTGACTTTACCGGAAAAAAACCTAAGAATATGAATCCTTGCAGTCACAAAAGCTTCAAATCTAGAAGAAAAAAAAGCAATGTCTGTCAATGGTGCAGTCTTAATATATGAATGCAATGTAATTCTACGGGTCCTACGTACGTGTGTCTATGGGCACTGCGTAGCATACGCGTCCTCTGCAAACCTACAGGAAACCTGTGTAAATCTAGAGGCCAATTGTAAGGATGAGAATCCTATGTAAGTCTGTGGGTCCATGCAAGTCGATGGATGCAATGCAAGTTGTAGGGGTCTTATGCAAATATATGGATTCCATGCGAGTGGAATGGATGCTATATGTAAGTCTGTCTTCGTTGGGCAGCTCATGGTGACCGCCCGATCATTTTCACGCACTCGGGACAACGAGATTTGGAAATCACAACTTTGCGGTCAGCGTTCAATCGGCCTGGAATTAAATACCACTGCATACTCTTTGGTTCTTTCGGTAAAGTCACGTAGGTATAAAATAAAATAAATCACGACGTTTTGGGCGCAACACAAGCGTCCGTCATCAAGTGGGAAAGCATGGTCTGCTGCTGAAGCAGACTGTTTTAAAAGGTTTGAAATGGGAGTAGCTCAAGGGTCATAAAGAAGTAGCCGGGGCTAGTGATGTTAATGTGAGAAATTAGCATATAACTGTAAGATAGGAGGAGAGCGGCCTCCTGGACGAGGGCACGGAAGTGGCGATGTTAATGTGAGAGATTAGCATGTAAAAGTAAGCTATGTTCGAGGGAGGGAGGGAGGGAGGTGAGGCACGGAGGTAGGTGAGGGAGGTAGGTCAGGGAGGTAGGTGAGGGAGTGAGGGAGGGAGGATGAGGAAGGGAAGAGGAGGAAGAGGAGGATGACGATGAGGTTGCGGCTCTCAGCGCACCGTTCTCACACACGACGTCCTTGAAGAGGAGCGAGGCGACACGAAGCTGGCACAGCGCCGACCGGACGGACACGGGCAGCACACACGACGCCGTGACGAGCACGCAGGCCGAGCGAGGAGGGGCGGGCGAGGACGACGACGACGACGAGGAGGGGAGGGGCGTCTGCAGGGAGTCATCGGTCACGAAGAGAGAGCAGCTCGCAGCACCGACACGTCCGCCCGGTCTCGCCTGCATTGCCTCGCGGTCGAGGCAACAACAACAAAAATCAGTCAGTTTTGTTGCCAGAAAAAAGGGGAAAAACCCTATGAGGTGAAAACATTGTCGTCGAATTAATTTAGCGAGCATTCATTTTGTTTTTTAAGTGATTTTGTAATCTACCCCCTTCCCCCCCACTCACCCCCCCTACCCCCACACCAGATGACGTGGAAGTGTAATGGTGAGCGGCGTACTCGACTTGCGACCCAGAGGTCGCCGGTTCAATCCCATCTCCCAGTGCGGTGGCGGAGACAACGTGGGACAAGTTTCTCAACTCCCCCCACTTCGCCCCGCCCCCCCGTCACCTCTCTCCACTTAGCAGCAGTAGAAGTGGGTTCATCGGCAGGTCGCGCATGGTGCCGTCAAGTGCGGGTAGGGAGCTTCCCACCTATTTCAAGGCGTGTGGCCAGCATAGAAGGGGGTAGGCCCAATACCCTCCACACCAGGGGTCAGCAACCTGCGGCTCTTCAAGGACCGCTTCGTGACATAATTTATTAGGGACCACCACCGTCTCGTATGCACGTGCATTCATCATCGTCATCATGATCCATCCGCAGGCAGCCCGTAGGTGTCCAATGCACATTTGTTTCCACTTTCCGCTGACTTGCAGCCAGTGTGCTCAAGTAGTGCGCAACGCATTGCATTGTGGCTCACGATATACTTAGAATTCGAAAAAAAACTGGTTTTGGTTGCCGACCCCTGCTCTATAGGGGCCTCTCTGGAACCCCATAAAGGGGAGGCCATCTTCTTGCAGTGGTGTGAGAGCCAGCAATTGCAGGGGCTGCACCTTCACCTTTGTCTAAACCTTTGTAATATCCCTGCAAGTTTTTTTTTGGTCTTTGTTTTAATCATAGGCCGAGCAGGTGCCTTGCTTTGCCTTGGCCCGCCCAGGAGTGAGCCACCCAGGCGAGAGGATAGGGCGGGGATTGGGCCTGCCAAGCCCGCCAGCCGGCTTACTAACCCTATAAATAGACGAGGGTTCAATGGTTTAACAGCTTAATTGAGAGTAATGGCTCAGCGGTGTGTAACTGCGTTTGCAAAACAGAAGCAGAAAAAGCTGCAGTGTTTAATGTGCAATCTTGCTTAATGTTAAAAAAAAAGTTACAGGCGAGATAATTGCACCGTTTAACTGGGGCTTTCGTCATCGCAATGATGAGGGAGGGGGGTATAATTGCGATTATAGTAGTTATGGGTATCAGCGTAATTGGCAGAGCCACTAATGATAATAGCATCTTTAGGATCAAGCTTTATCTTGGCCTAATAAGTCCGCATTAAAATCTTTATATTTGCAACAATTTTTTTATTTTACCAGTAAGCGATATAGCTCTTTTTCAGAAGCGACCTGGCCGCAATTGATAGCTCAGTGAAGTGGCGTAGAAATTGATAGCAGCCAAATGCACTAAACGCGTGTTGTTTTTAAATGTGGAGGAAAAAACCAGAGGGCAAAATCCACGCGGCTACGGGGAGAATTATGCAGCAGGCATCAGCGTCGGGATCAAACCCACGAATCTCCTGCATACCAGCCGAGGTAGTTAACATCTATACTCTTAGGTTCTTTCGGTAAAGTCACGTAGGTAAAAAATAAAATTAAAAGTTAATAAAAGTAATAATGGAAATAAAATAAAATAATAAATCACGACGTTTCGGAAGCAACACAAGTCTCCGTCATCAGGTGGGACCGTCACAGCTAGATTTGATGCATCAAGTGAGGAAAATTCCCAAAGACCAGCCCTTAAATACAATAATTTTAGCTGTGACGGTCCCACCTGATGACGGAGACTTGTGTTGCTTCCGAAACGTCGTGATTTATTATTTTATTTTATTTCCATTATTACTTTTATTAACTTTTAATTATATTTTTTACCTACGTGACTTTACCGAAAGAACCTAAGAGTATGAATCCTTGCAGTTACGAAAGCTTCAAATCTATAATTAGTTAACATCTGGCCACGGTGGCATGCCCAGATCACTGGTGAATACCACGGCCGTTGGGTGGACACACCAGGGTCGGAGTGGACCAGGGCGGACAAACGAGCGAGACGGGGAAACAAGCGGTCGGGGGGAAGTCAGCCAAGTGGCGTGTGAAGTGGGCCGATGGGTCAGGTGAGACCCAACGGGGCAAGGGGTGTGTGTGGGAGAGCGGAGAGAGAACCTCCCCCGAGGGCTCGTGTCGAAACGCCGAGCCCGTGTTGAAATACAAAACAATTTTTAAAAATAATGATAATGATGATACCTCCTCCATCTCCGCGTAGATGAGCGTGGCGTAGAAGGTGCAGCGCCACGACGCACGGTGGCCCCTCCGCTGACCCTGAGCGGAACGCAGGGGGTGGAGGAGGGTGCGGAACGAGCGACGGCATCCAGAGGTGAAGAAACGCGGCGCTTGCGTCCGACGAGCTTCTGTCCTCTGGGACTGTCTGTTGTTGTTGTTGTTATTCTGCCCTGCCCCCTAAGCTTGCACGTTTTATTAAACAATAAAACTATTGAAGGGGCACCACAGTGGTGTGATGTTATCTCCCTCGCCTGGTATGCAGGAGGTTCGATCCCGACCCCGACGCCTGTTGCATATTCGGAGTTTGTGCGTCTCATTTTCTTAGGTTTTTTCGGTAAAGTCACGTAGGTGAAAATTTTGAATTAATAAAAGTCAAATAAATATTTTACTTAAATTCAAATTAATAAAAGTAAAATACATATTTTACTTTTATTAATGTTAATTTTTCACCTACGTGACTTTACCGAAAAAACCTAAGAGTATGAATCCTTGCAGTCACGAAAGCTTCAAATCTAGAATTTGTGCGTCTCTCTCTCTCCCCGTGGTCGCGTGGATTTTTCTCCGGGCCGTCGGTTTTTCCCTCCACGTTTAGAATCATCAACATCACGCGTGCGTAGCTGTCTCCCCCCGCTCCCCTCCTGTCCCCCCCCCCCCCACCACTGTGTGTTTTCGAGTCGTACCGCGTGCCATCGTGCGCGGCATCCCGACGCGTTTTCAGTTCCTGAAGAAGCTCCCGGCGTGCGTGGGAGCGGAACCCTTGGGGGGGGGGGGGTCACAGTGACCTCTCTCCTCTCTACTGATCTCCACTCCACTCTCTACTGATCTCCACTCTCTACTGATCTCCACTCTCTACTGATCTCCACTCTCTACTGATCTCCACTCTCTACTGATCTCCACTCCACTCACTACTGATCTCCACTCTACTGTCCCGGTGCTGTAAAGATGAGGGCCACCGCCCATAACGTTTTCCGCCACCGTTACACTTTTCCGCGGAAGTCTATTTCTCCTAAGGCCACGGACGGTACCGATGAACGTCGAGTTCACGAGTGAGTTTCAGATGTTTCGCGATCGTGAGTTGTAGCCGTGCGTGCGCCGTGCGTGTGCCACGTGTGCCGTGCGTGTGCCGTGCGTGGGTACCACGTGTGCCGTGCGTGTGCCACGTGTGCCGTGCGTGTGCCACGTGTGCCGTGCGTGTGCCACGTGTGCCGTGCATGGGTACCAGTGTGTGGCTGAGTGGTAACGTGGAGGGCGCGCGGTACAGAGCGCTGGTACCGGCGCCGCCGCCGCCGCCGTCGTCCGAGAGCGGAAGAACGCAGGAGCCGGCGCGGGTCGCCAGAACGTAGCAGAAGCTGGGCGCCGGCATCATCTCGGCACTCTCCTGTGCATCGTCGTCATCATCAACGCCATCGTCGTCATGGACATGGCTATCATTGTCGTCAATAATTATCATCATCTCTGTCATCATCATTATTGCCCTGCATCTTCATCACTGTCATCATCATCATCACCGCCATCGTCGTCATGGACATGGCTATCATTGTCATCAATAATCATCATCATTGCTGTCATCATCATTATTGCCCTGCATCTTCGTCACTGTCATCATCATCACCGCCATCGTCGTCATGGACATGGCTATCATTGTCGTCAATAATCATCATCATCACTGTCATCATCATCATCATCATCACTGCCATCGTCATCATGGACATGGCTATCATTGTCGTTGCCGTCAATAATCATCATCATCATCACTGTCAACATCATTATTGCCCTGCATCTTCATCACTGTCATCATCATCACTGTCATCATTATTTCCCTGCATCTACATCACTGTCATCATCATCATCACTGCCATCATCATCATCATCGTCATGGCTATCATTGTCATCGTCATCAAAAATCATCATCATCATTGCTGTCATCTTCATCAGCATCATCATGTTCATCACAGCCCTGCAGCCGTTTGCTCCCGTGCTGCGTTACCTCTGGGCTGTGCGGGCTCCCGGGCTGGGCTTTAGGGGGTTGTCTTGGTGGCCAGAGGCTGTCAATGAGGCTGAACAGTGCGGGTGACCTGCAGGAGGGAATTGAACCGCGGAGTCAAAGTCACCCCCCCACCCCACCCCACCCCACCAAGGGTAGGTGGATCACGCAGAGACCCGTGAGAGTTGCTACAACCCAGCTGAGCTGTAAGGCAGCCAGGTTGAGGCGGTACAGCAAGTGGGTTTTCATAAGCCGCCTGAGCGGTCTGGCGCGTGCCGTGACGGAGCTACCGCAAGATCCGACCGTGTCGGTGAAGTGCTCGCCGAGAGCTGCACTGGCTTACCGCTGAGCGAACTAATCCGTTCTGAGGTCACCGCTCGTTACACGCAAAGTGCTCGCCACAAATTAATCACAACGCCTTGCCGATCTCAAGGAGCAGAAACTATCCTCGCAGCAGCAGCAGCAGCGGCAGCAGCGGCAGCAGCGGCAGCAGCGGCGGCAGCGGCAGCGGCAGCAGCAGCAGCGGCGGCAGCAGCAGCAGCGGCGGCGGCGGCTTCTGGCTGGGCCATCGAACAAAGACGGCCACCGCATCACGTGGCGCTTTCAGACGCACTTCTGTGGCCGTCTGGAACGCTCTTCCTTCCCATATCAGGAAGCCACTGGAACTGCGCACTATTAAATAATCCAGATTGAAAACGCATTTCTTTAGAACTGCTTTGTGTGTTTAGTTTATTGTCCTTCCCCGGCACCCCCAATTAGCACGGTTTGCTACGTATGGTGCGAAAGAAGTTCAACATACACACACACATACATAAGTGGGCAGGTGAGGTCAGGGATGCTGAGCCAGCACCGACGAGAGCCTGGGTTCGAATCCGGGTTTCAGCCGCTGCCAAGATTAAAACCGGTTCTTAAGCATAGCAGAGTAACGATCTCAGACCACGGCATTTCGCAATGACTGCACATTTTTAAAAACCTTGCCAAAAATTCCAGCTCTTGACATGTCATCACGTGGCAGAATGTGTGGGAAAGTGCGCCCCCTACCGTGCCAATGATGCAAATGCGACTTTAAAGATTTCTCGGGAGAGAGGCGATTTGCCGTCAAATGTATTTGCCGCGGGTCGCTTTGCGACGCGCGGGAGGGCACGGTGCCACGCGAAGGGGAGGTTTTCCGGATGGCATTCTTCATCTCGGTTCATTTGCACGGGATGGATAGAAAATAAACACAATTATCACCGAAAAGTCTACAGCAAGTCCTCGCTGAACGCGTCGGGTGTTCACAGGACGCATTGTCGCTCAAAACCGGAACACTTTTCGCACAGCGCGAACGCGCGCACCATTATAACATGGAACGCGCGCCGTCATAACGCAGTCTCTGAGCAGTCAACGACGAACTACTTTCTTGAGCTGCGCGGCTGAGCGTACGATGCGTTACGCGGAATGATACAGAAAAGTGGCGGCGTACGTAGTTATTTATCCCGCCATCTCAGTGTGAGCGTGTGTAGTAAGTGCATCGGGCGAAACCGTTTTTCGCTCAACGCGGCACTTTTCATCCGAACTCGTCGACTACCGCGAGCAGCGAGCGTCACAAACGAGGGCTCCGCTAAAGCGCGAAGCGGAAAAGACATTCCGCTTTGCGCGGCTCAAATCCCTCAAACTCCACGCCGAGTAACGCGGCGGACAATCGCCCGGGACGCGAATGCGACTCCCCCCCCGTACCCCCCGTGCCCCCCACCAAACCACGCATGAGTGCCCCGCGCATGAGCCTATCTGTGGTGGTCACACTGCCCCGGCGTGTCAAAATGAAACCGGGGACAGGCGACGCGCGCTGGGGAAACGCGTCGCCCCTCGACGCCAGGGCACAAGGCACAGCTCGCGGGCATGAGAGCGGTCGTCGTCCGACGATTAAAATAGATCCTTAGCCTGGCGCAGGCTGCGTGTGGCACCGTCGATTCATTATCATTTCCCGCTGCTGGTGACTTTGATAAAGATGCTGCTGATTTCGACGATGATGATGCTTGCTGTTGATTTTGACAATGATGCCAATTTTGACGATCCTGTTCATTTTATTGATGCTGCCGATTTTATTGATTGCTGCTGCGGATTTCGTTGCTGCTGCTGATTTCGATGATGATGAAGTCCTTGACGCAGCTGCAGATGGTGTTCTTGTTGCTGCTGATGATGATCAAAGTGATGTCACGGACATTGCTGCTGCCGTTTTTGACGATGATGATGATCACAGAGATATAAATCAGACTGCTGCAGATTCTGCTGCTGCTGCTGCTCATAATAACAATTGATGACAGTCATGATAAGATTGGTGAAGAGTGAGTGATATGAGTGGCACTGCTGCATCATCAGTGCTGCAATCACTGATGATGACGACAATAAAAGTGATGTCCATGGCACTGATCCAGTTGCTGGCGCTAATGATGACTACGACGATGAATATTATGACACAACTGCTGCTGCTACTTCTGATCACGATGACGATGACCACGATGACGTCCGACAGTGGCGATTACGACGACGATGTTGCTAAAAACAATACCGGCCACAGCGATGCCGGCAAGCACGACCCGAGTGACGTCATGCCCCCCCCCCCCACCCCCCTCCCCCACCTCGTCCGCGTGGTCCTCCGCAGCACCGCGACGTCGGCGAAGAGGCAGCAGCGCCCCTCCAGGTGCACCGGCAGCACGGGAGGAGAGTCCGTCGCGCCCGCCGGAGGAGCTCCCGCGGAGGGGCCAGGGGGCAACGGAGCAGGATCAGCCCTCAGCTCCATGGTGGAGCCAGCGAACTCGGTCCTCAGCTCCACGGTGGAGGAGCCAGCGGGCCCGGCCCTCGGCTCCATGGTGGAGCCAGCGGGCCCGGCCCTCGGCTCCATGGTGGAGGAGCCAGGGGACCCGGCCCTCGGCTCCACGGTGGAGCCAGCGGGTTCGGCCCTCAGCTCCATGGAGGAGGAGCCAGGGGACCCGGCCCTCGGCTCCACGGAGGGGCCAGGGGGCAACGAAGCGAGATCGGCTCTGAGCTCCGCGAACACCCCGCACGAGTCTTGTAAGAGCAGCACACACCTGCACAGAGACAACAACATCGTCGACAAATGACAAATGACAACAACAACCGGTCAAGCCGGTACGCATTTTCAGAACCGATTCGCCCGAAAGTCAGGACGTGGTCGACCGATCCCAGTGGGGATTTAAGTCGTGAATGTACGTACGTCGAACTTATTTCGCACCGTACGTAGCCAACCGTGCTAATCGGAGGGGCGGGGGAAGGACAATAAACTGCGGACAGAAACGTGTAACATCGTTCCAATCACCACGCCGGGAGGAGGGAATCAAACCGTAGATTTTCACGACCAATATGAGAAATTATGATTTTCTTTTCCTCCCCGAGATTTGACATCCTGTTTAACAATCTGATGCACGGTGGATGCAACGTCCGGCGAAATGTCAGCGAGCCGTGTTGATGTCGTGAGATTCCTCCCCAAAGACAACGACGCCGCTGCTGCCACCGCTGCCAAAGCAGGAATGCCACTGTCCACACCTGATTCACGTGGCACTCTTTTGATTAAATACGATAAAAACTAAACTATTTTCATATTTAACCAGCTAAGGCACACTGAGCTATACAGCTCGTGGGTTCCATCCCAGGGTTGGGATGGAACCCACGACCTCCTGCATATCAGGCGAGGTAGTTAACATCTCTCCACCGTGGCGCCCTTGACTGGCTGCATCAGGTGGCGGAGGGGTTTACGACACGCGAGATGTTGTTCTTCGTTATTATCCTTGCTACTTACCGGTAATTAGAGGTCGCAAACGGGTTTTGATTCCTTACCCGTACCGATAACCGGCCGCACCAGGGTCACAAACGGCTACCCGTACCCGGCCGGGTACGGGTAGCCGGGTATCGGGTAGGGTACGGGTATCGGGTACACGGTTGCGACCTCAACCGGTAATGATTAGCACGGTTGGCTGCTTACTGTGTGAAAGAAGTTCAACATGCATACATGCATGACAATGAAAAGATAAATTACGGTTAACGAGCCTACGTCGAACACGTTACGTTCCTCTCTTCTCTCGGCAAAATCTGCGCGGTGCCTTTTCGTTACCGGCTCGCGGGGACGCGTGTCAAGGAAAACTGGAACGAGAGTTGAAAACCGTACGGAGACGAGTGGGCAGACGCGCGCACGCACATATGGTGGAGGTGCATGCTGGGAATTACGCCCAGAAACCGCACCGCAAGATGAGCACGTGGCTTAGAGCAGTGGTTCTCAACGTTTGCTGGCTACTTGTTGTATTTTGTTTCAACCGAGTCTACCCCTTGCCTGACCCAACGCGGCGCTGAGAAATAAATGCGTGAAGAAATGAACGTGAAATATTTTAACCAATTGTTCACTTTGCGAGGTGTCCTAACGAGCTCGTAACTGCAAGCAAATAAAAACAAATGTCAACGGACGCTCTGCACTCGAGATCAAATTTGTTCGTGCTCGCTGGCTACTCCTGGAAACCACGTTGTTTACGATCAAGGAGTTTAGAAAGGTCTTTTATATCGTTCTCGGTTAGCAAATAGATTACATTTTTATTGTAATTATTTTATATTGGAATAGATTCATCCGTGATTTTTCCCCAAAAACTCTCATGTATGATTCTAGATTTGAAGCTTTCGTGACTGCAAGGATTCATACTCTTAGTTCTTTCGGTAAAGTCACGTAGGTAAAAAATTAAATTAAAATTAATAAAAATTAAAAATAAAAAAATCACAGAAAGTGGGGAGTATCATGTATGATATAATTTGTCAATATATTATTTTATATTGGCAGATTCATACATGATTATTCCCCAAAAACTCTCATGTACGATGATACATTTTACACATTTATGAATCGCCTCATGTACCCCCACGTTACCCTCAGGGGTCCGCGTACCCCCCGTTGAACTACCACTGGCTTATAGAAAAATACTCAAGGTAGAGGCATCACGCCGACTGGTAACGAGAGCGGACTTGGGCTTAGGATGTTGCTACAATGGATGATGCCCAAGTGGTCGTGACCAATGACGAAGTGCCTCAGTTCGAGGGGTTCATCGCACAGCGTGCAAACAGCTGTACAAAGACAAAGATCCACCGTATAGCCCTTTAACAGGATATTGGCGCAAGCGCTGTCAGCGGGCACCTATGAAGACCGGTACGGTACACGAGGGCGTGGGTGGCTAACACCACGCCCGGCCGCCTTTGTCTCCCCAATACTGATGTCTACACACCATCTAAGTGGGAGCCCACCGAGGACAGAGGTTAAAATATTCTCCACTGTTATTGGTCGTGAGCGGGAATGGAACTTGGGTGGCCGGGTTCGTAGAGCAGTGAACTAACCACTGTGCTACCGCTCCCCCAAAAGACCACTGTTACAAACACAAAGATCCCCCGTGTAGCCTCAACAGGCTGTTGGGGCAAGTGCTGTTAGCGAGCAGCACCTATGAAGGCCGGCACGGCACACGAGGGGGGGGTGGGTGGCCAGCACCAGGCCCGCCCGCCTTTGTCTCCCGAGTGGCGATGTTCACTACACAACGTACCAAGTACTCATTTGAGGCTAAACCGACCTACGCAACCGCACAAACCTACACAGACCCACACCACCCGTACGAGGGGATGTTTGAAGGTCCACACGGCTGGGTTCATGAACCAACGAAGAAGGGGAGGGGGGGGAGAGAGTGAGATAGCAGACAGTGGGAAGGGGAGGGGAAGGGAGGGGACACATTGTGACTTCCCGTAACCCTGCCGCGTACAAGAAACGCCACGCATCTTTCCTTCTCGCTCGCGGTCCGCGCGTGTGTGTGCGTGTATCCGCATCTGTACGTGTGTCCGCGTGTGTGCGTGTGTCCGCATGTGTGTGTGTGTCCGCGTGTGTTCGCGTGTGCGTGTGTCCGCGTGTGTGCGTGTCCGCGTGTGTGTGTGCGCGTGTGTTCGCGTGTGCGTGTGTCCACGTGTGTCCACGTGTGTGCGTGTGTCCGCGTGTGTCCGCGTGTGCGTGTGTATGTGCGTGTGTCCGCATGTGTGCGTGTGTGTGTGCGTGTGTGTCCGCATGTGTGCGTGTGTCCGCGTGTATTCGCGTGTGTGTCTGCGTGTGTCCACGTGCGCGGTAGTGGTAGCGTATAGCGCGCTGCACTACGAACTTGCGACCCGAGTTCGATTAACGCTCACGGCAATCACCGATGATGATTGTCTGAACCGGTCCCAGGGCTCCTGGTGCGGTGTCTAAAAATCATTGCCACTGATGAGACAAAGACGGCCAAGCATGGTACTGGCCATCAACCCCCTCTGTGCACCGTGCCGGCCTTCACAGTTGCTACTCGCGAATAGTACTTGTCTCAAAAAGTCTGTTTTGGCTATGACAGGGGGGATCTTGTCTTTGTGCACTTGCCCCAACAGTCTCTTTGTGCTATACGGTGAATCTTTGTGTGAGCGTGTGTGTGCGCGCGCGTGCCCACCCGTCCGTGCGTGTGTGCGGGCGTGTGTCACAGCTGCACACACGCCCGCCCACAGCGCCGAGGTCTCTTTGAATTTCTTTTCCTCTTTTTGATCTGTCCCGCTGTGGTCTCTAACGCTGCTGTTGTTTTGGTTTTTTTGGTTCCACGCAACTCGGACTTGATTCCCTCTCAATTTCCAATAAAGAGAAGACACGAAACTCAATCGATCGGAGGAGGTGTCGCAACCGTCAGGCAATTGGTCAACGTGACCGGATTTTAAGTCCTTTCGGAGAAAGAGGGGTCGGGTGACTCAAGAGGTCAGGGACCATGAGCCGTCACCGCTGGGATCCTGGGTTCGAATCCGGTTTTCAGCTGCAGCAGCAGCGCGTGATTAAACCGGGTTCTCAACCGTAGTGAGATGATGGTCTCGGCATGGTCAACATTGACTCATAGAGAGACCCATAGACTCACATAGAGACCCATAGACTCACATAGAGATCCAGACTCACAGAGAGACCCAAAGACTCACATACAGACCCATAGACTCACATAGAGACCCATAGACTCACATACAGACCCATAGACTCACAGAGAGACCCATAGACTCACAGAGAGACCCAAAGACTCACATACAGACCCAAAGACTCACATACAGACCCATAGACTCACATAGAGACCCATAGACTCACAGAGAGACCCAAAGACTCACATACAGACCCATAGACTCACATAGAAACTCTAAACTAAACTTTTTTTAGCAGCTAAAGGCCCACTGATCTATATAGCTCTTTTTCAGAACCGACTTGACCACAAACGAAATGGCTTATCTCGTGGCAATGTATAGCAGCAGCCAAACACTCTAAACGCGTGATATTGATTTTGAACGTGGAGGGAAAAACCGGAGGACCCGGAGAAAAATCCACGCGACCACGGGGAGAGAGAGACACGCCAACTCCAAATATACAGGAGTCGGAGTTGGCATTGAACCCACGACCTCCTGTATACCAGGCAGAGGTAGTATTAATATCACGTAAGAAAATTGATAGCAGCCAAATCATTGAAATGCATTGTTGCAGACGTGTAGAGAAATATATACGGGCGTCAGGGTCGGGATCGAACGCACGACCTCCTGTACATCAGGCGAGGTAGTTAACATCTCCTAGCCACCGTGATGATGATGAGAGAGAGAGACACGCAAACTCCAAATATACAGCAGCAGGCGTCAGGGGTCGGGATCGAACCCACGACCTCCTGCACATCAGGCGACGTAGTTAACATCTCCTAGCCACCGTGATGATGATGAGAGAGAGAGAGAGACACGCAAACTCCAAATATACAGCAGCAGGCGTCAGGGGTCGGGATCGAACCCACGACCTCCTGTACACCAGGCGAGGTAGTTAACATCTCCTAGCCACCGTGATGATGATGAGAGAGAGAGAGAGACATGCAAACTCCAAATATACAGCAGCAGGCGTCAGGGTCGGGATCGAACCCACGACCTCCTGTACATCAGGCGACGTAGTTAACATCTCCTAGCCACCGTGGGAGCTGCGCAACAATGCCTGGAGGCTCATTTGCAGCCGGACGTCACGTTGACTCGTAGCACTCAGGTTTTAGTTTTTTTTTTTTTGGGGGGGGGGGGGGGGGGGGGGGGAGTGGGTGGTGGGGGTGGGGGTCAAGGCTCTGAATACCGGCGCGACTTTCCCGAGAGGGAGACGTCAGCAGAATAAATTATCAATTTACCCTGTGCTGGCTGGTGGCCGCCCCGAGCTGCGCTGGTGTCCGGCTCACCTGCCGAGGGCGACACACGAGAGGGGAGAGCACGCGTGAACACGCGCTCGGTGGAACAGACAACAGGTGGTGAACAAACAACGCGGGTGAACAATGGGGGGGGGGGGGGTGGTGGGGTGGGCGGGATTGGCTCGATTAGCCGGACGCGTTCGGTCCGGCGGCGGGGCTGCATTAGCGGCGGCGACGAAAACGCGATTGACAAAGTGCGCGGATCGGAACGCACCGCTCCATCCATGAGCTCGACGGGCGAAAGCCTGGGCAGGTGAGTTCTGAACAGGTGAGAGCCTGAACAGGTGAGGTTCAACAGGTGAAAGCCTCAACAGGTGAGAGCCTGGACAGGTGAAAGGTCGAACAGGTGACAGGAGCCTGAAGAGGTGAGAGTCTAAACAGGTGAAAGGCCGAACAGGTGACAGGAGCCTGAACAGGTGAGAGTCTAAACAGGTGAAAGGCCGAACAACAGCTGAGCCTCAAGCTGCTGCTTAAAGGTGGGTGGTGCGTTGATGCTGCGTGTGTGCAAGCCAGAGGTCGCAAACGGGTTTTGATTCCTTACCCGTACCCGTACCCGGCCGGGTATGGGTTCCCGTTCCCTACCCGTACCCTACCCGAAATGAGTGACAAACGGTTACTCACCAGTGACTCACGGCCTACCCGTACCCGTACCCGGCCGCACCAGGGTCACAAACGGCTACCCGTACCCGTACCCGGCCGGGTACGGGTAGCCGGGTATCGGGTAGGGTACGGGTATCGGGTACCCGGTTGCGACCTCTGGTGCAAGCACAACGTCTTGGGTTGTGTCATTCGCTGAAGCTTCGGGCTCTGGGCGCTGAACCGCGAACAGAGAAGCCACGAGTGTTCCAGTGCTTTAGATTTATTTTGCTCAACGATGCAAACAATAATTCACAGCTCTTTGTCAATCCCCTGCTGGATGAAGGCCTCCCCACGCCCCCGACGCCGTGACGCTCAGATGAGCTGTTTGATTGACGATACTTCACTACGCTGGCCAGTGCAAGTGGGGCAGGGGGGGCGGAGAGGGTGGCTGGGGGTTTGTGAGGTGGAGGCCCACTCGCCACTGATCTTGGCCGCAGTCAAACATCTAACTCAACTAGCAAATCACTGCACTACCACTCCCCCCGGCCTTTAACGTACGAACATAAAGACTAACGGCGTACCATCGTGTCTCGCTGTTCCGCCGAACGTGGGATGGGGTGTTCATCTGTTAAAGGCCCCGTGCAAAGTTTTGGAAATTCCACGTTCCTCTGGCATACAGCGGTCTATCCCCAAAGTGAGCAACGATAACGATGATGATATCCAAAAAAAAGTGGTCCTGATTTTATTGGCCCTGGAGGAAGGATTGCCAATGATGATGATGGCGGTGGTGGTCTGAGATATTAACCCAATGGGAATTTTTACGTAGAAAATTTGGGAAGCTGAGTCATACGCTCCGACCACAGAGCAAAGAAGTACTGAGAGGTACATGGAGAGAAAGAGGAACACGTGAATTCGAGGAAACGCGCAAGTGGGTTGACATCATGTTGACGGTTAAGATACATTTATTAAAAAAAAAAAACTCAACACATTCGCCAATAACAGCGTGGCTTTAGAATTAAAAAAATAATAGTGGCTGACATTTGGAGGCAATGGCCCATCTTTCACAGCGTATTGTTTCCTGTACTTGCGCCAACGCAGCATTACCGAGTAATTGGTTAAGATGAGCAAGTGGGCCTGGGCAGGAGCTGCAATCAGCTGGTGTCAGCGCTGGACGAATCAGGGACTGCTGGAGGTGGCGACGAAATTAGCGAGGCCTTCATTGAGCAGTGGATTGATCATGGTTGCTGAAGATGATGATGAGGATGACGATCATAGTCATCAACCCAACCGGAATTTGAACTCAGAAGTTTACGATCGCCGACACACGCGGACGTCTTTCCCTTCAAATCTAAACTCTGAGAGATCATCCGACGGGCAGAGGTGACTCAAGGATGTTTAGAGCTTTGAGCTGGCACCGTCTAAGATCTCGGCTTCGAAATCCTGGTGTTTGGCCACCTGCGAATACAACAGGTCCTAAAGCGGAGTTCGTCACTTGTCTCAGCCCGGACACCAATTGACAAAACACCGTCGCATACAATTTGGTTGTGCACTCAATTTGGCAACAACAATACAAATATTCTGTCTCTGAGAATGAACGTATCAGTTCGACCGTCGTGCGACGAATTTTACTCTCGAGTGGGAAAGTGGCACCCTCAGGCTGCGTGTGGACCAAAAGATTACTTCAGGGCATCTCAGGGGCAGTTCAACACGTGGGCGGCTTTCCCGACCAATATTATCAATAAGAGGTTTTTTTAAATGCTTTATATTAAGTTCGCTTGCTTGCTTGCTTACGACCGTGCAAATCTTTCGGTCGTTTTTTAACCCACTTCCCGTGATCCAATCGAGCTGACATTATGCACACAGACTCGTTGTGCGAGACAATTAATGTTCGTGAAAAAAAAATTCCAAAATTTTACACTGTTTAAGGGAAAAAAATTAAATATTTAATTACCAATTGCTTAATGCTGCCAGACAATCATCTGACCCATAGGTGGCAGCCATCTCAAGCCAGAGGACGAGAGGACTCTAGCCGCCACGCATATAAAGGATTTATAGTGAAAAACTTTGTTTTTACGGGTTCATTTTTTTGGGAGTTAAATCGTGTAAATATAAATGATTCGTTAAACCTGCCACCACCAGTGTCGCCTGCTGATGGTAGTTGTTATTACTGGCGAAACGTCGTACTCGAATTTTAAATGTTTACTCTCCAACACACCGGTGTGCTGTACTAGCGACGAATTGCCACGTTCTGTTTACGTGACAAACCTTACTAATCGGCTGTGTCGGGTAGTGGCGGGTTTAACGACACATTTTTATTTACGCGATCCAACCCAAGAAAAAAACTCTATTATGAATCTCACAGGCAGCTCTGTGATGTCCGCGTCCGTGGGCACTGCGTCCTGCCAGAGTTTCCGAATGAAGTCTTCGAGTGATGATGCGGCGCCGATAGCACAACTGGGATAAAAGTGGGGGTGGAGGTGGGGGGCTTGGGGTGGTGGTGGAGGGGGGGAACCATGTGACTACGTAGCACAGTGGCTAAACGGCACGGCTTCAGTTTGGAAGGTCACATGCTCAAACCCTGGTTTGGGTTCATCACGATCATCATCATGATCATCATATCCGCTAGTTTTTTCTGTCTATTCAATAAGACCCAGACTTAATTCCCTCCTAATTCCGATGAAGAGAAGGCACTAAATGGAATCGACCGGGACGTGTTGCAACCGTCCGGCAATTGGGCAACGTGACTGGATTTGAAGTCCTTTCGGAGACAGAGGTGCCGGGTGACTTAAGAGGTCAGAGAAGCTGAGCCGGCACCACTGGAATCCTGGGTTCAAATCCGGGTTTCAGCCGCAGCCTGAGATTAAACCGGGTTCTCAAGCGCAGCGAGTTCATGGTCTCAGCATGGTTGCCATTGACTCACAGAGAGACCCATAAACTCACATAGAGACCAATAGACTCACAAAGAGACCCATAAACTCACATAGAGACCAATAGACTCAAAAAGAGACCCATAAACTCACATAGAGACCAATAGACTCACAAAGAGACCCACAGACTCACATAGAGACCCATAAACTCACATAGAGACCAATAGACTCACAAAGAGACCCACAGACTCACATAGAGATCCACATACTAACAGAGAGACCCACAGACTCACATAGAGACCAATAGACTCACATAGAGACCAATAGACTCACATAGAGACCAATAGACTCACAGCGAGACCCACAGACTCACATAGAGATCCATAGACACACAGAGAGACCCACAGACTCACATAGAGATCCACAGACTCACATAGAGACCAATAGACTCACAGACAGACCCATAGACTCACATAGAGATCCACAGACTCACATAGAGATCCATAGACTCACGGAGAGACCAATAGACTCACAGGGAGACCCATAAACTCACATAGAGACCAATAGACTCACAGAGAGACCCATAGACTTACATAGAGACCAATAGACTCACATAGAGACCAATAGACTCACAGAGAGACCCATAGACTCACATAGAGATCCATAGACTCACAGAGAGACCCATAGACTCACATAGAGATCAACAGACTCACAGAGAGACCCATAGGCAATATAGGCTAAGTTGTGATTAAACCGGGCTCTAAAACGCACGAGTTCTCTACATGTAACGTTGCACTGACCCATCAAATCCCGATGACCATCAGCCATGATCTATCCACTGCAGGCTCCCCAAGTTGTCACCATCTCTCACGGCCTCGCGAAATAACAATCAAGCAATCAATTCCGTCCGATTTCTGTGTTTTAATTCTAGATTTGAAGCTTTCGTGACTGCAAGGATTCATACGCTTAGTTCTTTCGGTAAAGTCGCGTAGGTAAAAAATTTAATAAAAATTAATAAAAACTAAAATAATAAAATCACGACGTTTCGGAGGCAACACAAGTCTCCGTCATCAGGTGGGACCGTCACAGCCAGATTTGATGCAGCAAATTTGATGCAGCAAATCTGGCTGTGACGGTCCCACCTGATGACGGAGACTTGTGTTGTCTCAGTAACGTCGTGATTTTATTATTTTATTTTTATTAATTTTTATTTCTGTGTTTTAACCCCGATGTAATAAAAATGTGGGAAATGTAAAAAATGCCGCGCTGACCATCCCCCCCCCCGTTCCCCCTTGGCTCACCGGCGTCGAGTGTGGTGGTTTCCTGGACAGTGCCGGCGTGGTTGCGGTCGTTGCGGTGCGTGTGTGGTACACGCGCTGCACCACCGCACGTACGCACAGCATGGTGGCGGCGTTCCCGGCGGGCCCCACCGCCCCGCCCTGCTGCCACTCGAGGGCCTCCAGCAGTGAGTCTGTCGCTCCGTGATGGCCCAGGAAAAGGCCCGTGACCAGGGCCGGAGCCAGATCCGCCTGCGGAACAAGACGATGGCAGAGGCAGCAGCAGCGGCAGCAGCAGCAGCAACATCAGCAACAGCAGAAATAGAAGCAGCAGCAACAGCAGTAGCAGTGGCAGCAGCAATAATAGCAGCAACAGCGGTGGCAGCAGAACCAGCAGCAGCAGAAGCAACATCAGCAACAGCAGAAACAGCAGCAGCGGCAGCAGAAGCAACATCAGCAACAGCAGAAACAGAAGCAGCAGTAACAGCAGCAGCAGCGGTAGTGGTAGCAGCAATAGCAGCAACAGCAGTGGCAACAGCAGCAGCAGAGGCGGCAGCAGCAACAGCAGCCACAGCAACATCAGCTATGACAGCAGCACTCCCAGATGTCCCTCTCAATCATGTGGGGTCGGATGTCTTAGTCCTCAATCCGCTGCTGGATAAAGGCCTCTCCAAGCCACATCAGTTACACGGGGGGGTTATTTGACCATACTTCACCACACTGGTCAGTGCGGGTTGGCGACGTCGCTGGGTCTCCATGGGGGTCTCAAAACAGCGCTCTCTCTTCACATGGGGTCGGACGCGCAGATGTCACCGCCGTTTCCGTGACTTCACCGCGCTGAACGAGTGCGGGCTTGCGAAGCCGACCAACTGCCAAGCACCGATCCTCACAGCCTCGCCATCGCCACCAAATCTGGCCATAGGCCGTCCCCCTTTTGCTCGCCAACCTCTGCGCGACACTCCGGTGTGTCGACGACGATCGTCCGAGAATATCGGCCCGGGCGCAGGGGGAGCGTAGCGGAGTGCGGTACAACGCCGGGGCGGGTGGGGGGTGGGGGGGGCAGTAACCTGGCGGTTGAGCCTCCGGCAGGCGAGGTTGTGTCCCAGGGAGTGGCTGAACCGTGGAAGGACACGCGGAGGGTCGGTGACGGAGTGACGGCTCGCACTGCCGTCGCCGCCACCGCCACCAAGGTTCTCCACGAATCGCGTGCACAGCACGACCGGGAGCCGGTCGCCAGACTCCGAGGACAACCACAGCTTCAGCCTGGCTCCGGAGAGAGAGCGGAGAGGGACACCACGGTAGCGAGATGTTAACTCCCTCGCCTGGTATGCAGCAGGTCGTGGGAATCGTGTGCACAGCAAGATCGGGAGCCGGTCGCCAGACTCCGAGGACAACCACAGCTTCAGCCTGGCTCCGCCTGGTATGCAGCAGGTCGTGGGTTTGATCCCGACCCTGACGCCTGCTGCTGTATATTTGGAGTTTGCGTGTCTCTCTCTCTCTTCTACCCCTGTGGTCGTGTGGATTTTTCTCCAGGCCCTCCGGTTTTTCCCTCCACGTTTAGCATCGACGTCACGCGTTTAGAGTATTTGGTTGCAAAAAAATTCAACGCGATAAACCACTTCGTTCAGGTACCATTAGTGGTCAGGTCACTTCTGAAAAAGATCTGCATAGCTCAGTGGGCCTTACCTGGTAAGATTAAAACAATGTTGTAGTAGTAGAGAGCGGAGAGAGAGTGGAAAGAGGTCCGTGTGACGGTTGGCGGAGAAACGATACCTACATTTTTGCGTCGTATTGTCTGTGAATGTAACTCGCTGACCCACCCCTTGCTGGACATCTACGAGAAAGAGCTTTGCAGCCCGTAGAATTCCTCCGGGATTAAGATTCCGATTCTGAATTCACACCTCCATGGCCCGCCGATTTGATCAATTGCCTTGATGCAGCACCACGATTCCGCTCAAGGATCGATTTGGGTATCGTCAGTGACGCTTCTGCGGTATAACGGGTTGCGCATACTGCTGGAGTGTCATCTGTCTGTACGTATGTTGAAATTCTTTGGCACCCATTCAGACGCTGTCTTCCCGACAGACCTGTTCTTCACCTGAGGACGGATGCTTGCGTTGTGGCCGAAACGTCGTGAGAATTATTTTATTATGTTTTATTTTTATTATTTTATCATTTCCCTTCTACGTGACTTTACCGAAAGAACCAAGAAGATTCTTTCGCATCGTTCGAAGCCAACCGTGCTAATCGAAGGTGCGGGGCCTGGGTACAACAGACTAAAGACAAAAATCGGTTATCAAGAAATGAGCTTTCAATCCGGATGATTTAAAAGTGCAAAGCTCCCAGTGGCTTCCGAATATCGGAAGGAAGAGCGTTCCAGACGGGCCCCAGAAGCGCAATGGATGCCTCATCTCGTGGCACTACGCCGGCAGCACGATTGGCGTTAAAGTACGGGTGGGGGTGGGGGGGGGGAATTCGCACGAGACAATAACCAACAACAAAAAAACCCACGAGAAATTTAGGAGCTTAACAAGCGGAATTTGATTGACACGCAGCGAACACGTTTTGCGGGACTTGTGACAGGTTAGTTTTGTTAATTATTGTTTAACCAGCTGAGAAGTCAAGGGACTAGGGCGAGTCGCAGTTTCAAGAGTGAGCCGAGGCATTTAGTCGGGCAGCCGAGAGCAGCGATTGGTGCCGTGTACACATTCCAAATTGAGTTTTGATAATTTAGATCCCGTACACCAGCGGCACGCGTTGGCCAGCTACTCTTTCGAACGACATCCAGGGGGATGCTTTGACGGACACTGCGAGTGAAGCAGAGGGCGCGTGGTAGCCCTGCGATTGTTAGCACCCGCAGTGGTAATCAGGTCGGCCCACCGGATTCAAACCGCTAACCTTTACATGTGCTCCCCTATGGAGTGGATGTGCCGTGAACTTGAAGCGAGTTCGGAAGTAGTTCCGTCAACTGCAAACTGGGTATGTGAAAAAATTTGCGTAGTAAAAATATCTATAGCATTAAATATCCATAACATAAAATATATCGTTTTTTATTGACGGAAAAAAATGGGGATCAATGTTTCGCTCCCAGGCTTGCGTGGCGACAGCATCTGTAACCACACGTATGCGGTGGTGGTGGCGGCAGTGGTGGCAGCAGTGGTGGCGGTGGCTCAGAAACCGCCCCAGAGATAAATTAATCAGCGCTTCCGCCTCAGCCAGGCGTAGCCACGCACCCGTCTATTTACCGTGCCAATATCACTTTTTAATAATTATTTGTTTTTATTGTTATTATTACTACGAGCAGCCCGCATATCCTTTGGATGTGCCCGTCCGTCCCTCCTGAAATCCAGCCAGCAAAACTTGTTTTTTTAGATATATTACAAAAGTAGGATAGCACAATCGCGTATATCCTGCGGGCTTGCGCTGGATGCAAGGCTGGGGTGGAGGCTGTGTGGGGCTTCAGCACGACGCACGAACCCGGCTCAACTCCCGTGGGGGATGCATGCGTGTGACGCGCCAGCCAGGCAGGAATCCAGCCAGCAAAACTTTTTGTTCTCATATCGTGCTATTATTATTACGTTTGCTCCCCCTGGAAGGCCTCATGGCTCTTTTTCAGGAAGGTCCTGCCACGATTTCTCGGGAGGGTGCAATTTTGACGAGTGTAATCCCATTTGAGTAATCAGCATTGGTGATCACCATTGGAACCTCATTTGCCAGTAAAAATATGATAATTGTTTTTTTTACCCTTCTATCTGGCAACAAAACTGACACCTTTTTACAAGGAGTCATGTTTGCAAACATGACTCCTGACACCTTTTTACAAGGAGTCATGTTTGCAAACATGACTCCTTGTAAAAAAGGTGTCAGTTTTGTTGCCAGATAGAAGGGTAAAAAAACTATTATCAGCATTGGTGATGTTTGTCCAATAATAGTTGCATTGTGTGTATAGTTTTTTTCACCTATGGGTGAGGAAACCAGAGAGCCCGGAGTGAAACCCATGCAGAACACGGCGTGAGAATACAAACTCCACACAGAAAGGCGCCATAGTCGGGAATTGAACTCGCACCACACATCCAGTAAGACCCCATCGCTAAGGCTGCAGCTACAACTTGAAAAATATCTTCTTAGCTCAAATGGGCTTTACTCGCAAAAAAAAAAAAAAATCTGATTCTGATTCTACTTAAGTCACGGTGCAGAGATGTTAACTATCTCGCTTGGTGTACAGGAGGTCGTGGGTTCGATCGCGACCATGACGCCTGCTGTATATTTGGAGTTTACATCTCTCTCTCTCCCCGTGGTCGAGTGGATTGTTCTCCGGGTCCTCCGAGGTTTCCCCTCCACATTTAGAATCAACATCACACATTTAGAGCATTTGGCTGCTATAAATTTCCACGTGATGAAATCAACTTCGTTGAGCGACTATTTGTGATAGCCAGGTGGCTTCTGAACAAGAGCTTACCTGGTGAAATAAAAATAGAAATAAAAATAGAAGTATCCAGGCTCAAACAGGCTGCTCTGTGGGACCTATCCAAGTTGCTGCAAATCACATGCCTTTTAATTAACTTTCATAATTATAAAACAAAAACAAAGATCCCCCATATAGCCTTAACAGACTGTAGGGGCAAGTGCTGTTAGAGAGCACCTATGAAGGCCGGAACGGTACACGAGGGGGTGAGTGGCCAGCACCATGCTCGACCGCCTTTGTCTCCCCAGTGGCGATATTTACACAGCGCACCAGGTACTCATTTGAGGCTGAGTCGACCTAGGGGAGGCCCAGGACCGGTTCAGATAATCGTCACCGGTGTTGGCCGTGAGCGGGAATCGAACCCGTGTCGCCGGGTTCATAGCGCAGCGCGCTAACCGCTACACTACCGCTCCCCATTATATAACACGCATACACACACGTGCACGCGCGCACAAGTGTGTGTATGCGTGTGTCTCTTCCAGCCGCTACTGGCAGATTAATCAGGGCTGGGTCTGAGCCCCGCGTGTGTTTGCGGGACGAGGGATGACGGGACGAAACCCGCCGCGACCCGCGGACAGGCTTGCCTCCCCCAGATAAGGGAGCGTGCGTTTCTCAAGAACGCCTCTATCAGGCAGACATCACTCGTTGGGCAACGTGCATTGTCACTCAGCGCTCTTCCCTTTTTGATCAGAGTAAATAAGCCCCCACCACCCCCTCGCTCACCCACCACCTACTCTCCCTCCTTCCCCCTCCCCCCAACATCAACCACCGTATTGATCTTCTTGGTTCTTTCGGTAAAGTCACGTAGAATGGAAATAATAAAATAATACAAATAAAACATAATAAAATAATTATCACGACGTCATTCAGACTCTGTCGTCTCGACAGACCTGTTCTTCACCTGAGGACGGCTACTTGCGTTGTGGCCGAAACGTCGTGAGAATTATTTTATTATGTTTTATTTGTATTATTTTATTATTTCCATTCTACGTGACTTTACCGAAAGAACCAAGAAGATGAATCCCTGCAGTCACGAAAGCTTTAAATCGAAACACTGTATTGATTTGCACCGGTGAAATGTCACAGTTGAGGTCCCCTTCCAGAGCAAACTATGTATCCCCTGTTGACTTATAAGCGGGGCGTACATATCAACACAATAAGACAAAGATGTGTGTTGAACTTCTTGGTTCTTTCGGTAAAGTCACATAGAAGGGAAATAAGACCCATACTATTGTCATATCATCTCATAGAATCCCTGGCACGTAATAATATGCTACACAGTGGCAGTGGGGGTCGCAAAATGCCAATTTATTACTAATAAACCCCAATGATCCGATCGAAATAAGGGATTTCGATCGGATAATTGGGGGGGCAATGTGCCCCCCCCCCCCACTGGCTCTGCCAGTGCTCACCACTATTTATTTGATTAACCGTTTCCAAAGTCACTGCATTCAAGTAATATGGGCACATCCTTTCATATGCCCTGGAAAGGAAGTGTTTATCACACCATAAATCTTGGTTTTGTAAATCTCAGGGCGGGAACTTTGTCAAATGAAGCGACAATCCCAATGTACAGGGACGTGTTTATGTCTGTAGCCATTGGTCACTGGGGCTGAGGCCTTCTATTCATCGATCACACCTCGATAACCAGGTTCAATCGCAACCGGATCTGTGTGACTCTACGGGTCTCTATGTAATTATATGTCTCCGTACAAATAAATTGGTCTCTATGCGAGTCTACGTGAATTTTACACGAGCCTGTGGTTTTCTATGCAAGTCTATGTATGGCTCTCTATGCTAAAAGGTCTATTTGTTTCATTTATGTATGTGTGTTGAACTTCTTTCACACCGTACGCAGCCAACCGTGCTCACTGGAGATGCGGGAACGGACAACAAACTAAACACAAAAGGCATTTCCAAAGAAATGAATTTCCAATCTAAATTTAAAAGTGCATAGCTCCAGCGGCTTCCCAATATCGGAAGGAAGAGCTTTCCAGACGGCCGCAGAAGCGCATCTGAAAGCGCCACGTGATGCGGTGACCGTCTTTGTTCGATGGCCAGCCAAAAGCCGCTGCTGCAAGAATGACCGGAGTTCGCGTGAGGGTTTACGCTCAATCTCGATTTGAAGTTTTCGTGACTGCAGGGATCCATACTCTTTGGTTCTTTCGGTAAAGTCACGTAGGTAGAAAAATAAATAAATTAAATCACGACGCTTCGATCGCAACACAAGCAATCATCATCAGGTGGGAAAACCACAGCAAGAACATTTTTTAACGAAGTGTTTTTTTTGCTGAAGGTTTACGCTCCTCCACGGGATCAGCTAGGTGTTGCGTGGTTCATTTTGCGTCAATCGCAAATACTTTATATGCGTCTCCATATAAAGTATATGGGCCCCTACGTAAGTTTATGGACTATGCAAGTTATCGGCGAGCAGGACGAGGACCATCAACCCACTAAGTTTAGGACCCAGTTTAATCCCAACTCGGTCTGTGCGAGTCTAAGGGTATCTCATACATATATCTGCACGCATGCTAAAAGTGTCACCCATCCTGGCCGGGTCCCCATTGAGCTTGTTGGCTCGATGGGCCTCGCGACATTCATTAAACTGACCGACTGCACGTGTGTCAGTCTCTACGCGAGCCTACTTGCTGCTACGAAAGTGCGTTGGTCTCTTCGCGAGTCTACGTATCGCCGGGAAAGTGTGTCAAAGCGAGTCTTGCAAGCCCTACGGCGACCGGGATGATACCGTCAACTCGTTAGCAGTCGGGGACCCGGCCTCATTCCTAAAAAAACTGGATTCTAACCCAGGCTCTCAATTTTCATGTGATAAGCCACTTTGCTGAGCTATCATTTGCGGCGAGGTCGCTACTGAAAAATACGTTAATGCCTCAGTGGGCTTTGCTTTATAGGATGGGGATTCATATTCTTGGTTCTTTCGGTAAAGTCACGTAGAAGGGAAATAATAAAATAACAAAAATATAAAATAAAATACTCACGACGTTTCGACTGCAACACAAGCAATCATCATCAGGTGTTAAATTGCTGTGGATTTTGCTGTGGATTTCACACCTGATGATTGCTTGCGTGTTGCAGTCGAAACGTCGTGAGAATGTTATTGTTTTATATTTTTGTTATTTTATTGTTTCCCTACTACGTGACTTTACCGAAAGAACCAGAATATGAATCCCTGCAGTCACGAAAGCTTTACATCAAAAGGATGAGGATTGTTTAGTTTTATTTTGTACGTGTTTGGGTGATTTACCTTTCTTGTACTTTGCACCCTTATCGTGTTTTCGTACTTCCTTTTGGCGTCATCTGGTCGAACACCATATGAGACTAGGCTCTAAAGAAAGCTGTCTCTGGTGTGGACCAATCAGTTTCAAAGACAATGCATAAATTATCAGAGTATTGTTTTTTGTTTGCATTTGACTGCAAGTATTGTGGTTAATGTAAGCATGATTCCTTGCAAAAGGTGTCAGTTTTGTTGCCACAAAAAAGGGGAAAAACCCTATTAGTAGTGTTTTAGTACTGTTTATTGTTGTAACGTTCTGAACCCGTGTCTCGACTGGACATCTGTGATAAAAGAGCTTCGGAGTTCATCGGATTCCTCCTGCAGTCGACATTAATATTCTGAGTGGTGGCTCTGTGTCTCTGACCCCAGTGTTAGTGCCCTGGGCACACGGGGCCACCGTTCGTGTTCAATCAAGCGTGCAGACTTCGGCCTATCCATTACGAATGTGATCCGAAACCAGAAGAGACACCTGCGGTTAGATTGAGGACGTGAGAAACAGAACCAGGAAAACAAAAACTTGGTAGACAGGAATGAAATCTTGTATGCATCCAAATCGGCGGCAGTATGTATCGGGGCAGGTCAACAAGAAACAAAAGAAAAACACGACGGAGGGGCAAAGTATAAGAAAGGGAAGCAAATCACAAAAAAATATACAAATAAAACTGATAATTTAACACGTAGGCTTTCGCGACCAATATTATTCATAATATAGGTTTTTGGGTCAGATCGCGTTATTCATGTGTCGTAACCCTCCACCACCCGACATGGCCAAACTGACCAATTGTATCCTACCAGGTGAAGCCCACTTAGCTATTAAACTTATTTTTCAGAAGCAACCTGGCCACAGATGATAGCTCAACGAGGTGGCGGCTTATCGTCATGTGGACATTTTTACAGCAGACAAATAATCTAAACAGTCTAAACGCACGTGCAGAACCTAGCTGCGGCCCAATGTCGAGGTCTGCCTGCTGGCCTACGCCGAGAGGGCATCAGCAGGCAGAGAGAGTTGGTGGAGTTTTGAGATTCTTCCACTGAAGCAGCCCAGACTACGGCGAGTGGTTTCCCGCATGGTCCAACGGCCATCTCCCGTAAACAACGTGACGTGGCGATGCCGTGCACTCACCAGGGCGCAAACACGTGAACCGTGTCTCCGTTGCGCATCTTCAGGTGCTTGACGGCATCTTTCGCGAAGAGGGCAAAGACGGTGTTGTCCGCGAGCGGCCCTGACGATGTTGTCTCTCGAAAACCGTCATCGTGCCCACGTCGTTGCTCTCCCACATCTTCGCATCTCCCTCCTCCTCCACTTTCCACTTCCTTCGAATCCAGATGCGGTCCATCACGCCGACAGTTCCGGGGCGACCTCGTTGAACCCGGGTCCGGAACGCGTGCCAAGCCGACCTTGCTTTGCGATTCCGAAACCGTCGCCGCCAATTCCCCGACAGTTGACGTCCCTTGTGGTCGCGCACCTGCTTCTGATTTTTCCTGCTTTGAGTCTGCGGCGCCCGTGGAGAACAGAGCTTGCCGCGGCGACATGAGTCTGCAGGTGGTCACGAGCAATGAGCATTCCGTGTGCTGCGTGAGGATACGCAGTTTCAAAGGTGCTCCCCCCTCCTCCTCATCCACGGAGACTGTGAAAATATAAGTCAAGGTGCCTAAATTATTTCTTACAGCAAATAAGGATTTTTTTTCTTATTTTATTTATTTTTTCTCTGGAGACCAGCAAAGATCGATGACCGGTGTTTGGTCGCCGCGTTGATGGCATATCGTCGTGATTACTCACTTAACAACAGAGTGGGCCGTGTTAAGGCTGCTGCTATCTTTGTTGACACCCACCTCCCGTTTACAGCCCGGAGGCGGTGGTGACAATTTAATATCCCTACGGTGGGGTCGAGTCTATGCACAGGACAACCGCTGTTGATCTTCCCACGAGGCGGTACTCATTTTATCTAAGCTGGAGGGATGATGGGCTTAGGCAACCACCCCCTTTCCCCGCCCCCCACCCTCTCCAAAATAACCGTGTCACCTGACCCGACATCAAGGTAACAGCCAATCAGATTGAAACTCGACACGAACCATTACAGATTCGGTGATTCCAATCCTATCCTGCTTCTACTACTCAAGACAAAGCGACACCAACAACGGTGTAACAGTTGAAAACAACGAGTGCAAACGCACCTCCGACGCATACAAAGTCGCAAGTTGGTCGGTCTGGTTTTTGATTTGGCGTTGAACTTTCTTACCCGCCGACGGCGCCGCAGACGCGCAGGCGCGGTGATGGTGGCGCCAAAACACGATGGAAGATTTCTCCCGGCACTGAAGCCTCCAGGCTCTCTCTGCAAGGCCTCCCCTGCCCCATGGACACCAAAAAAGACAGAGAGCAGTGCCCGTCGCATGACTGGCGTCAGGGTCCACGCCTCTGCAAAAATTTGAACGATTACACCGTGAGTTACTCAGTTGGGATCACAACAACAACCGCCATTTGCCACCAAGTGGCGGTGACGTCAGCACGGCGCTTGTGCCAGGCTAGTTGCACTTGAAGGCCACGTGAAGTGTAGAACGCCCGCTGGCAGGAGGTCATGGGACAGACCCAGTTGCCATGGATGGGTTGTCACTAAGATGAGTGGCCGATGCACCATCTTTGCCCGCTACTATGCCAACTTGCTTTGTTTTAGCCTGCCCGGCGCTCCTGCTCATTGTTGTGAGCGTCGCCTCCTCCGCCCTCCGTTGTTGCTGGAGGGCGTCTGCCTCCAACTGTCCAGTAGGGATCCTTCACGAGCCTCCTCCACAGAGGCCGATCTTGACACCGCTGGTACCAATTATTACCAAGTCCACTCAGCTCCACATCCTCTCGCACTACATCATTCCATCTCTTTTAGTCCGTGCCTCGCCCGTTTAGTTGGGATCACTCCCACACACAGCAAATCAGCATCTCAAAATGCCGCTGAATTTGCAAAGCGCGCAGTCTTCGCATACCGAGAGAAATGACAGTGCTTGGGAAGGGCAGCCAGCACAAGCGCCAAACAATCGCCAAAGCTCTGTGATCCTATATGGTGATTGCTGGACCAACCCGATTAACGCGCAGTTTATACGTGTGGGAGGAAACCGGAGTGACGAATTCGTGCAGTTTAGCGTTAATCTGTGGCACACGGGCCCAATGATGACATCTGGTGGCGTGGCAGGAGATTGCGTGCGCGTGCGCGTGCGCGTGCGCGTGCACAGGGGTTACCTACCGTTGCATGGCGAGGAGTGTTCACACAACACGTTTTCGATATTCTTCCATTAGGGAACAGCAGCAGGTGGCAAGCAGCAGTAGCAACCAGCAGCAAGCAGCAGCGAGCAGCAGTGGCAAGCAGCAGCAAGCAGCAGCAGTAGCAATCAGCAACAAGTAGCAGTACCAGCAGTAGCAAGCAGCAGTAGCAACCAGCCACAGTAGCAAGCAGCAGCAGGAGCAAGCAGCAGCAGGAAGCAAGCAGCAGCAGTAGCAAGCAGCAGCAGTAGCAAGCAGCAGTAGCAAGCAGCAGCAGTAGCAAGCAGCCACAGTAGCACGCAGCAGCAGGAGCAAGCAGCAGCAGTAGCAATCAGCAACAAGTAGCAGTACCAGTAGCAAGCATCCGCAGGAGCAAGCAGCAGCAGGAGCAAGCAGCAGCAGTAGCAAGCAGCAGCAGTAGCAAGCAGCCACAGTAGCACGCAGCAGCAGGAGCAAGCAGCAGCAGTAGCAATCAGCAACAAGTAGCAGTACCAGTAGCAAGCATCCGCAGTAGCAAGCAGCAGCAGGAGCAAGCAGCAGCAGTAGCAACCAGCGGCAAGCAGCACCAGCAGTAGCAACAGCAAAGCAGCAGGAATAGTAAGCAGCAACAAGCAGCAATAAACATGAGCGGCAGTCACAACAGCAAGCAGTAGCAGCAGCAAGCAGCAATAGCAAGTAGCATCAGTAATAAGTATAACCCGTAAAAACAAAGTTTTTCACTATAAATCCTTTATATGCGTGGTGGCTAGAGTCCTCTTGTCCTCTGGCTTGAGATGGCTGCCACCTATGGGTCAGATGATTGCATTGCACCATTAAGCAATTTGGTAATTAAATATAATATTTTTGTCCTAAAAAGTGTAAAATTTTGGAAATTTTTTTCACGAACATTAATTGTCACGCACAACGAGTCTGTGTGGAAAATGTCAGCTCGATTGGATCACGGGAAGTGGGTTAAAAAACGACCGAAAGATTTGCACGGTCCTAAGCAAGCAAGCGAACTTAATATAAAGGATTTAAAAAGCAGCAGCAGCCAGCGACATGAGCAAACATAACACGAGCAAGGGATAAAAAATCAAATCCGTCCGTTGACCTCTGACCCTCACCGGAGGAATCGCTTCTTGCCTGCGGAGTCCTGCAGCTCGGCGCAGGCACCGCGCTCTCCCCCCGTCGCCCCCTCGTCGTCCGGCGGCGTCCGCATCATCTCCAGCCACTCGCTCACACGCCTCCGGGGAGGACTCGCCGGGGCGTCGGCGGAGACGGGTGCCGAAACGGTGGAGCCGCAGCCACCGTGAGCCTCCGCCTCATCATCGTCAGTATCGTCGTCGTCGTCGTCGTCGTCGTCCGAGGCGAACTGAGTGATATTGATGGCAGCGCCGCACTGTTCATACAGAACGGGTCCGCCGGTAAGTTTTGAAAGTTGTCGAGGTTTGATAATTGTTTTTTTACCCTTCAAGGACAGTGCACATTATCAGAGTTATGTTTTTTGTTTGCATTATGACTGCAGGTATTGTGGTCTATTTAAACATGACTCCTTGTAAAAAAAAGTGTCAGTTTTGTTGCCAGATAGAATGGTAAAAAAACAATTATCATATTTTTTACTGGCAAATGAGGTTCCAATGGTATAATGGTCGAGGTTTGTTTTGCTGCAGCCAGGCGAGAACTCGACAGACCAGGGATGGAGTCTAGTTTGCACGGGCGTTCTAGTGGTAACGTTGTAGAAATTTGTATATTTCGGACCCTGACCGTCTTGCAACTGGCATCGGTGGGGATCTTTAACATCCACTGCGTGTGAAGCAGATGGCGCGTGGTATTTTTCCGGTCATTTCACTCAGCGGTATTAACCAGGGCGGCTGCTGGGTTCGAACCGCGAAACTCTGCAGCAAACGGCGAATGCGCAACCGTGGGGGGCACGTCACCGTCCACAGCAGGTGTGGACACGTCCGTTCCTTCTTCGCGAATCGTTTACGATTCTTAACTCTTGCGAAAGATTATCCAAAATATAAGTAAACTTTCGTATTCATGTTGAACTTTTTTCAAACCGTACGTAGGCAACCATGCTGATCGGAGGTGTGGGGTAGGATAACCAATGAATGAGTGGGTGAGTGAGTGAGCGAGCGAGTGGACGAGTGGGTGAGTGAGTAGGTGAACGACTGAATGAGGGTGGCGTGGACAAGTAAACAGGTGAGTTGTAACGTATGTATGTTGAACTTCATTCGCACCATACTAAGCGAAGGTGTGGGGGGAAGGACAACAAACTAAATATAAAAAAGCAGTTCGAAAGAAATTCGTTTACAATGTAGATGATTTAAAAGTACATAGCTCCCAGTGGCTTCTTAATATGAGAAGGAAGAGCATTCCAGACGGCCGCAGAAGCGCATCTGAAAGCGCCGCGATGCGGTAAACCATCTTTGTTCGATCGCTAGCCAAAAGCCGCTGCTGTGCGGATAACCGAAATCCTCGTTGGCTATTGGGAACTCGCTGTGGAGGAAAGCGGGCAAATCGATCAAAAGGCTCCTCAAAACCAGCAGCAAGCGGATGTGTGTCGTAATGACGCGCGTGATGTCATCAGAGTCGTATCGGCTCAAGATGTACCGCTACTACTGCCGCCCTTTAGAACACTTCCGAGGACCAAAGTTAAGCGTTGCCAAGTGTTACACGACCCGCGCAAATGTGCATCGTGTTCCTTGTGTTTTTGTCATTTTGCAAACGTGTCTTGAGATTGGACAGCATGTAGCGCGCTACGTAAATTGAAATTGTTGTTGTTGTTGTTGCTGTGATTGTTGTGGTTGTTCGCCTGGCTGACCGGTAACGAGCGGAGTGTGGGGCTGCTGTCGACGCTGCGTTCGGAATCAACGATGTCAAACTCCGCCAGGGGAGAGTCCAAGGGGAGAGCGTCTTCCGACTCCACAGACTCGATGTCTTCTGAGCAGCAGGGAATAAGCAAGCGTAGCCTTCGCGATATAAACCAGCGACGTCACCTCACGGAGCCCAAGACTTCATATCACACAACCCGCAACGTCATTTAACACGACCCGCAACTAAACCCTTGCCCATTCCGAGACATCTTCAAGTTGCAGGATGGGTGTCCCGTTCACCGCTGAATCTCGGAACACGCAAGCGGTTAGCGTTCATTTATTGAGTGGTGCAGCGCCGTTGTTTTTAAAGACATTGTGCTCACCGTTGAAAACTGTAGCGACACGACCACACTCTACGATAACTGGCACCAAGCCGTGCCACACGCCCTCACGCATGGCATTGTGGGAGGCTTGGTACGTCTTCCGACATGAAGACGTACCGATAAAGTTATGTTATTTATTTTAATAACAAAATTATTTCTTCTGATTTTGTTTCGATGGCATGTTGTCATTGGAAGGAAATCTGATGACGTGCATATACCTGATGACGTACCAATAAGGGATGTTATTTTTTTTCTTCCGAATCAGAAGAAAAACGGATGACATACACGTACGCACCGTACGTCATCGGAATGGGAAAAGATTAATTTCACACGACCCGCAACTTCGTGTCCACCAACCCCCGACCCCAACTGCACGGACTTACCGTTGTCGTCCATCGCAGGCCTGAGCACGCTGCGGCCGTAGGCTGAGGCCTGCGCCGCTCCCAGCCGCTGCTCGGCCACCAGCGAGCCGGCCCCGACGCGCCCTCGCCCGCGTGAGCGGCGGCGGATCGCGACGTCGGCATCCGGCGACTCGTCACACGAACCGCTGCTGGTGCCGGGGCTGGAGATGATGGAATCCGCATCGCCTTCATGAGCGGTGCGGGGAGAGGGGGGCGGACAGAAGGGAGGGAGGGAGGGGGCATGAGCTCCAAGTGGATTCTGCTGCGATAGGACAGGCTGTGCGAGGGTGCTTCTAAATCTTCTTGGTTCTTGCGGCAAAGTCACGTGGAAGGGAAATAATAAATAATAAAAATAAAACATTATAAAATATGTTTCATTTTCATTATTTTATTATTTCCCTTCTACGTGACTTTACCGAAAGAACCAAGAAGATGAATCCCTGCAGTCACGAAAGCTTTAAATCGGTGCTTCTAAACTTATCAAGCGTGTTCGTGACAGTCAATATTTTGATTCGTATCTTGATTTTATTTTGGGGTTGGATCGTGCAATGTGGCCAAATTTGTGTCATTAAGCCCGCGCCCCCCCCCCCCCCCCGCCTCCGTCACCTGACACAGCTGAACAAGTGAAACTGTCACGGGCGCAAAGAGAAGTAAAAATAGCGAAGTTACTCTCGCTCTCTCCTGAAGCCTTCTCGTCGTGGCCAGCGGCCCTCAACATTGGCATCATTAGCTCCTGAACATATTGCCAAATGCAAGAAGAGCATAGTCTATGGGCTATGTGAATCTACGGGCAATGTGAGTCTATGGGCAATGTGAGTCTATGGGCCATGTGAGTCTATGGGCCATGTAAGTCTATGGGCCATGTGAGTCTATGGGCCATGTGAGTCTATGGGCAATGTGAGTCTATGGGCAATGTTAGTCTATGGGCAATGTGAGTCTATGGGCAATGTGAGTCTATGGGCTATGTGAGTCTATGGGCCATGTGAGTCTATGGGCCATGTGAGTCTATGGGCCATATGAGTCTATGGGCAATGTGAGTCTATGGGCCATGTGAGTCTATGGGCCATGTGAGTCTATGGGCCATGTGAGTCTATGGGCCATGTGAGTCTATGGGCAATGTGAGTCTATGGGCAATGTTAGTCTATGGGCAATGTGAGTCTATGGGCAATGTGAGTCTATGGGCTATGTGAGTCTATGGGCCATGTGAGTCTATGGGCCATGTGAGTCTATGGGCCATGTGAGTCTATGGGCAATGTGAGTCTATGGGCCATGTGAGTCTATGGGCAATGTGAGTCTATGGGCAATGTTAGTCTATGGGCAATGTGAGTCTATGGGCAATGTGAGTCTATGGGCTATGTGAGTCTATGGGCCATGTGAGTCTATGGGCCATGTGAGTCTATGGGCCATGTGAGTCTATGGGCAATGTGAGTCTACGGGCCATGTGAGTCTATGGGCCATGTGAGTCTATGGGCCATGTGAGTCTATGGGCAATGTGAGTCTACGGGCAATGTGAGTCTATGGGCCATGTGAGTCTATGGGCAATGTGAGTCTACGGGCCATGTGAGTCTATGGGCAATGTGAGTCTATGGGCCATGTGAGTCTATGGGCAATGTGAGTCTACGGGCCATGTGAGTCTATGGGCAATGTGAGTCTATGGGCAATGTGAGTCTATGGGCAATGTAAAACTACGGGCAATGTGAGTCTATGGGCAATGTGGGTCTATGGGCAATGTGAGTCTATGGGCAATGTGAGTCTATGGGCAATGTGAGTCTATGGGCCATGTGAGTCTATGGGCCATGTGAGTCTATGGGCCATGTGAGTCTATGGGCAATGTGAGTCTATGGGCAATGTGAGTCTACGGGCAATGTTAGTCTATGGACAATGTGAGTCAATGGACAATTTGAGTCTATGGGCCATGTGAGTCTATGGGCAATGTGAGTCTATTGGCAGTGTTAGTCTATGGACAATGTGAGTCTATGGGCAATGTGAGTCTACGGGCAATGTTAGTCTATGGACAATGTGAGTCTATGGGCAATTTGAGTCTATGGGCCATGTGAGTCTATGGGCAATTTGAGTCTATTGGCAGTGTTAGTCTACGGGCAATGTGAATCTATGGGCAATGTGAGTCTAATGTGAGTCTATGGACAATGTGAGTCTATGGGCTATGTGAGTCTATGGACAATGTGAGTCTATGGGCCATGTGAGTCTATGGGCAATGTGAGTCTACGGGCAATGTGAGTCTATGGGCCATGTGAGTCTATGGGCCATGTGAGTCTATGGGCAATTTGAGTCTATTGGCAGTGTTAGTCTACGGGCAATGTGAATCTATGGGCAATGTGAGTCTAATGTGAGTCTATGGACAATGTGAGTCTATGGGTTATGTGAGTCTATGGACAATGTGAGTCTATGGGCCATGTGAGTCTATGGGCAATGTGAGTCTATGGGCAGTGTGAGTCTATGGGCCATGTGAGTCTATGGGCCATGTGAGTCTATGGGCCATGTGAGTCTATGGGCAATGTGAATCTATGGGCCATGTAAGTCTATGGGCCATGTGAGTCTATGGGCCATGTGAGTCTATGGGCAATGTGAGTCTATGGGCCATGTGAGTCTATGGGCCATGTGAGTCTATGGGCCATGTGAGTCTATGGGCCATGTGAGTCTATGGGCAATGTGAGTCTATGGGCCATGTGAGTCTATGGGCCATGTGAGTCTATGGGCCATGTGAGTCTATGGGCCATGTGAGTCTATGGGCAATGTGAGTCTATGGGCCATGTGAGTCTATGGGCCATGTGAGTCTATGGGCAATGTGAGTCTACGGGCAATGTGAGTCTACGGGCCATGTGAGTCTATGGGCAATGTGAGTCTATGGGCCATGTGAGTCTATGGGCAATGTGAGTCTATGGGCAATGTGAGTCTATGGGCAATGTGAGTCTATGGGCAATGTGAGTCTATGGGCAATGTGAGTCTACGGGTTATGTGAGTCTATGGGCAATGTGAGTCTATGGGCAATGTGAGTCTATGGGCCATGTGAGTCTATGGGCAATGTGAGTCTATGGGCAATGTGAGTCTATGGGCCATGTGAGTCTATGGGCAATGTGAGTCTATGGGCAATGTGAGTCTATGGGCAATGTGAGTCTATGGGCCATGTGAGTCTATGCGCATTGTGAGTCTATGGGCAATGTGAGTCTATGGGCAATGTTAGTCTATGGGCAGTGTTAGTCTATGGGCAGTGTGAGTCTATGGGCAATGTGAGTCTATTGGCAGTGTTAGTCTACGGGCAATGTGAATCTATGGGCAATGTGAGTCTAATGTGAGTCTATGGACAATGTGAGTCTATGGGCTATGTGAGTCTATGGACAATGTGAGTCTATGGGCCATGTGAGTCTATGGGCAATGTGAGTCTACGGGCCATGTGAGTCTATGGGCCATGTGAGTCTATGGGCCATGTGAGTCTATGGGCAGTGTGAGTCTATGGGCCATGTGAGTCTATGGGCCATGTGAGTCTATGGGCCATGTGAGTCTATGGGCAATGTGAGTCTATGGGCAATGTTAGTCTATGGGCAATGTGAGTCTATGGGCAATGTGAGTCTATGGGCTATGTGAGTCTATGGGCCATGTGAGTCTATGGGCCATGTGAGTCTATGGGCCATGTGAGTCTATGGGCCATGTGAGTCTATGGGCAATGTGAGTCTATGGGCAATGTGAGTCTACGGGCAATGTTAGTCTATGGACAATGTGAGTCAATGGACAATTTGAGTCTATGGGCCATGTGAGTCTATGGGCAATGTGAGTCTATTGGCAGTGTTAGTCTATGGACAATGTGAGTCTATGGGCAATGTGAGTCTACGGGCAATGTTAGTCTATGGACAATGTGAGTCTATGGGCAATTTGAGTCTATGGGCCATGTGAGTCTATGGGCAATTTGAGTCTATTGGCAGTGTTAGTCTACGGGCAATGTGAATCTATGGGCAATGTGAGTCTAATGTGAGTCTATGGACAATGTGAGTCTATGGGCTATGTGAGTCTATGGACAATGTGAGTCTATGGGCCATGTGAGTCTATGGGCAATGTGAGTCTACGGGCAATGTGAGTCTATGGGCCATGTGAGTCTATGGGCCATGTGAGTCTATGGGCAATTTGAGTCTATTGGCAGTGTTAGTCTACGGGCAATGTGAATCTATGGGCAATGTGAGTCTAATGTGAGTCTATGGACAATGTGAGTCTATGGGCTATGTGAGTCTATGGACAATGTGAGTCTATGGGCCATGTGAGTCTATGGGCAATGTGAGTCTATGGGCAGTGTGAGTCTATGGGCCATGTGAGTCTATGGGCCATGTGAGTCTATGGGCCATGTGAGTCTATGGGCAATGTGAATCTATGGGCCATGTAAGTCTATGGGCCATGTGAGTCTATGGGCCATGTGAGTCTATGGGCAATGTGAGTCTATGGGCCATGTGAGTCTATGGGCCATGTGAGTCTATGGGCCATGTGAGTCTATGGGCAATGTGAGTCTATGGGCCATGTGAGTCTATGGGCCATGTGAGTCTATGGGCCATGTGAGTCTATGGGCCATGTGAGTCTATGGGCAATGTGAGTCTATGGGCCATGTGAGTCTATGGGCCATGTGAGTCTATGGGCAATATGAGTCTACGGGCAATGTGAGTCTACGGGCCATGTGAGTCTATGGGCAATGTGAGTCTATGGGCCATGTGAGTCTATGGGCAATGTGAGTCTATGGGCAATGTGAGTCTATGGGCAATGTGAGTCTATGGGCAATGTGAGTCTATGGGCAATGTGAGTCTACGGGTTATGTGAGTCTATGGGCAATGTGAGTCTATGGGCAATGTGAGTCTATGGGCCATGTGAGTCTATGGCCATGAGTCTATGGGCAATGTGAGTCTATGGGCAATGTGAGTCTATGGGCCATGTGAGTCTATGGGCAATGTGAGTCTATGGGCAATGTGAGTCTATGGGCAATGTGAGTCTATGGGCCATGTGAGTCTATGCGCATTGTGAGTCTATGGGCAATGTGAGTCTATGGGCAATGTTAGTCTATGGGCAGTGTTAGTCTATGGGCAGTGTGAGTCTATGGGCAATGTGAGTCTATTGGCAGTGTTAGTCTACAGGCAATGTGAATCTATGGGCAATGTGAGTCTAATGTGAGTCTATGGACAATGTGAGTCTATGGGCTATGTGAGTCTATGGACAATGTGAGTCTATGGGCCATGTGAGTCTATGGGCAATGTGAGTCTACGGGCCATGTGAGTCTATGGGCCATGTGAGTCTATGGGCCATGTGAGTCTATGGGCAGTGTGAGTCTATGGGCCATGTGAGTCTATGGGCCATGTGAGTCTATGGGCCATGTGAGTCTATGGGCAATGTGAATCTATGGGCCATGTGAGTCTATGGGCCATGTGAGTCTATGGGCCATGTGAGTCTATGGGCCATGTGAGTCTATGGGCAGTGTGAGTCTATGGGCCATGTGAGTCTGTGGGCCATGTGAGTCTATGGGCCATGTGAGTCTATGGGCCATGTGAGTATATGGGCAAAGTGAGTCTATGGACAATTTGAGTCTACGGGCCATGTGAGTCTATGGGCCATGTGAGTCTATGGACAATTTGAGTCTATGGGCCATGTGAGTCTATGGACAATTTAAGTCTACGGGCCATGTGAGTCTATGGACAATTTGAGTCTATGGGCCATGTGAGTCTATGGACAATGTGAGTCTATGGGCCATGTGAGTCTATGGGTAATGTGAGTCTATGGGCAATGTGAGTCTACGGGCCATGTGAGTCTACGGGCCATGTGAGTCTATGGACAATTTAAGTCTACGGGCCATGTGAGTCTATGGACAATTTGAGTCTATGGACAATGTGAGTCTATGGGCAATGTGAGTCTACGGGCCATGTGAGTCTATGGACAATGTGAGTCTATGGGCAATGTGAGTCTACGGGCCATGTGAGTCTATGGGCAATGTGAGTCTATGGGCCATGTGAGTCTATGGGCAATGTGAGTCTACAAGCCATGTGAGTCTATGGGCAATGTGAGTCTATGGGCAATGTGAGTCTATGGGCCATGTGAGTCTATGGGCAATGTGAGTCTATGGGCCATGTGAGTCTACGGGCCATGTGAGTCTATGGGCAATGTGAGTCTATGGGCCATGTGAGTCTACGGGCCATGTGAGTCTATGGGCAATGTGATTCTATGGGCCATGTGAGTCTATGGGCAATGTGAGTCTACAAGTCATGTGAGTCTATGGGCAATGTGAGTCTATGGGCCATGTGAGTCTATGGGAAATGTGAGTCTATGGGCAATGTGAGTCTATGGGCAATGTGAGTCTACGGGCCATGTGAGTCTATGGGCAATGTGAGTCTATGGGCCATGTGAGTCTATGGGCCATGTGAGTCTATGGGCCATGTGAGTCTATGGGCAATGTGAGTCTATGGGCAATGTGAGTCTATGGGCCATGTGAGTCTATGGGCAATGTGAGTCTATGGGCCATGTGAGTCTACGGGCCATGTGAGTCTATGGGCAATGTGAGTCTATGGGCCATGTGAGTCTACGGGCCATGTGAGTCTATGGGCAATGTGATTCTATGGGCCATGTGAGTCTATGGGCAATGTGAGTCTACAAGCCATGTGAGTCTATGGGCAATGTGAGTCTATGGGCCATGTGAGTCTATGGGAAATGTGAGTTTATGGGCAATGTGAGTCTATGGGCAATGTGAGTCTATGGGCCATGTGAGTCTATGGGCAATGTGAGTCTATGGGCCATGTGAGTCTATGGGCCATGTGAGTCTATGGGCTATGTGAGTCTATGGGCCATGTGAGTCTATGGGCAATGTGAGTCTATGGGCAATGTGAGTCTATGGGCAATGTGAGTCTATGGGCAGTGTGAGTCTATGGGCAATGTGAGTCTATGGGCCATGTGAGTCTATGGGTAATGTGAGTCTATGGGCAATGTGAGTCTATGGGCAATGTGAGTCTATGGGCAATGTGAGTCTATGGGCAGTGTAAGTCTATGGACAATTTGAGTCTACGGGCCATGTGAGTCTATGGGCCATGTGAGTCTATGGGCCATGTGAGTTTATGGGCCATGTGAGTCTATGGGCCATGTGAGTCTATGGGTAATGTGAGTCTACGGGCCATGTGAGTCTACGGGCAATGTGAGTCTATGGACAATGTGAGTCTATGGGCAATGTGAGTCTACGGGCAATGTGAGTGTATGGACCCGAAAGTAAACCACTGTCATCTGCACTCCTTCAACAGAAGAGGAGGAAGAGCAAAACGACACCAACTCTCTCTATCTTTCTCGCCTGAAGCCCTCTCGTTGTGACCAAGAGAAGACCTTCACATTGACCAACGAGCTCCTGAACAATATATTATTGCTGTCGCCATCACGCACAATAATCATCATCATCATCATCATCACGATCTATGGGCAGAGAGCCCACAGGTGTCCACTACAGATCGTCACTTTCCTCTGTCTTGTGCCAATATGTTCATGTAGTGCACATCCTCCTGGCACCAGTTTCTTATGTCGTGGTCAAGCCATTCTCTGTCAGGTCTTCCTCTCTTTCCACAGATGAAGATGTATATCGCCTGATGGTGCTGGTTGTAATTACAGTAATCCCTCGCCACTTTGCGGTTCAAGTTTCGCGGCCTCAGTGCATCGCGGATTTTTCGAACTGATTTAAAGGCCTCATTATACCTGTGCAGTAACACCATCATCATCATCATCATTCATCATCACATTCATCGAACTGCACAGGTCTGTCATCGTCGTCATTGGCATCGTCATTGTCATCGTCGTCGTCGTCATTACTGGAGTCAAGTCTCAAGATACTACTGCCATTGGTGAGTGTAGAACACCATAATACGTATCGTATGAGAGAGAGTGAATGTATAATATTAAGGTTTTATAATTAAATAGATTTAAGTAAAATAAATATATATATAAAGTATAAATATACATATTTTAAACATTCTGGTACCCACACACACATATACGGAAATTCCTAGGAGGCCAATCCTACTTCGCGGATTTTCACCTATCGCGAGGGGTTCCGGTCCCCATTAACTGCGATAAACGAGGGATCACTGTACTAGCGAAACGTCGTTCTCGAATTGTAAACGTTGTGGTGGGTTTACTCTCCAACACACCGTTGTGCTGAACTAGTAACTCATTGGCATGCTTCGTTTTCGTGACAAACCTTACTGATTGGCCACGTCCGGTAGTGGCGGGTTTAACAAAACATATTTGCGCGATCTAACCCAAAAAAAGTCTGTTATGGATAATATTGGTCGCTGAAGCAACTACTACTACGTGTTGAGCTGAGGGTGGGAGCGCTGCGGTGCCGTGCTCCGTGTGTGCACCTCACCTGGCAAGCAGCGCTGCAGCTTTGTGAGACACCTTGCTACCGGCTTCCACGATTTCCAGTTCGCCTGCCCAACGAAAAAAGAAATCCGTTTAGCCGCACCAGATTAAGTCGTCTTCTCCATCGTCGGCCGTGATCTGTCAACCGCTGGGTTCACCGCAGGTCGTCAGCCGTGGACCCGCCCGTCTATCCGTCCACTTACCCAAGCAGTCAGCATCTCCGGTTGTCCTGCGATGGAAGTTATTTGCCGGCGGTGTTGCTACCGCTGTCGCTGCTGATGCTGCCGCTGCTACAGTGGCGGTGATGCGCAAGCAAGAATAACAAAATCTAAACTCAAACACGTTCCTCAATAACGCCGTGGCCTTAAACGGAAACGATATCAGAATCAGAATATTTATTTAGACTGGAGGAATCCGATGAGCTATGAAGCTCTTTTTCACAGGTGTCCAGCAGCGGTAGGTAAGAACGTTACAACAACCACCTGGCCACAAATGATAGCTCAACGAAGTGGCTTATCACGCGAAAATTTATAGTAGCCAAATACCCTGAACGCGTGACGTTGATTCTAAATGTGGAGGGAAAAACCGGAGGACCCGGAGAAAAAAAAAATCCACGCGAGCACGGGGAAGAGAGGCACGCAAACTTCAAATATACAGGTGCCAGGGGTCGGGATCGAACCCACGAACTCCGACATACAAGGCGGCGTGTCGTGTGAAATGAAGGAGGTGCGGACTTACTGGATGGGCGACGTCGGCCGACGTGAACGCGTCGCCGCAGCGCGCCCACGACTCGTGCAGCCGCGCGACGTTTGGCGGTCTGCCTCCTCCCCGCACCACCACCTCGTCCTCATCCTCCTCCTCGACCGTGAGTCTGCGCTCCTCCGCGCGCGAGCTGCCCGATGGGAACGGGACATCCTCCCAGGAACGCTCCTTGCGCTGGACGGTGGAGGTGGGGGGGGATTAAATGCGAAAAAGATTAGCCTGCAGTAGGCTGAAGGGGCAAGAGATGTCAGCGAAGCACACACGTGTATGAAATTACAAAGACACAATCACAAATGCGCATGTAAACCCTGTACATGATCGCACACACACTAACAAAGACAAAGATCCCCCGTATGGCCTTATCAGAGTTTTGGGGCAAGCTTTGTTAGCGAGTGCCTATAAAGGCCGTTACGGCACACGACGGGGGGTGAGTGAACCAGCACCACGCCCAGCCTCCTTTGTCTCCCGAGTGGCGATGTTTACACAATCAGCCGAGTCGACCTAGAGGAGACCCAGGACTGGTTCAGATAATCGCTGGCCACGAGTGGGAATGGGGGCGCTACGCCACTGCTCCCCGCACAACGATCGCCGTTCACTACGAAGTGCACCTGGAGGTCACGTGAAGTGTGGGAGGGCTCGCTGGCAGGAGCTCATGGGACAAAACCTTCTTAAACTTCCATTGCTCTCCTCAAAGACAAAACTTGCAAGTGTGTTCAGCTTAGGATGAGATATGACACCGAGGTGGCAGTACAGTAGTGGATTGTGAAGCTTTGGAGAGCGGTCATGCAGTGTAGATTTGAAGTTTTCGTGACTGCAAGGATTCATACTCTTAGGTTCTTTCGGTAAAGTCACGTAGGGATAAAATAAATTAAATCACGCCTCGCCCCCACACTCTCTATCCTTGGCTCCTCCCCGCTCCCTCATCTATTTAACCCCTTGCGCCCTAAACGTCGTGATTTAATTTATTTTATACCTACCTGACTTTAGCGAAAGAACCAAAGAGTATGGGGTCATGCAGTGGTTAGCGCACTCCGCTACGAAACCTGCGACCCGATTACCAGAACCGGTCCTGGGCCTCCGCTAGATCGACTCCGTTTCAAATGAGTACCTCGTGCGGTGTGTAAACATCGTCACTAGTGAGACAAGGAGCGGCCGAGTGTGGTGCTGGCCACCCATACCCCTCATGTGCCGTGCCAGACCTTCGTAGGTGCTCGCTATCAGTACTTTCCGCAAGAGTCTGTTAGGGATATACGGGGGATGTATTGTTTGTGAAGCGTTGCGTGTTGTATCCCCGTATGCTTGCTGGGTTTTCTCCGGGTCCTCCATTGTTCAAGTATTGGTACAAAAGAAAAATAATCAATTCTTGAAACAAATCAACCAGAACATCTTCAAATAAAAACCCAATGAAGCACCTTCCTGAAAAATAAGTAATGGGACTCAATTTGGCTTTCCTGGATAAATAAGCCATCATTATTTTTGATTATTTACAGAACAGACCATGGAACGATAACGATTAAAAGGACCGATTCACAAGTACGGCCGCAGGCGTCATCACAGCGACACACTTCTCAATCATCTGGCTCAACCACCTCAATATGAAGTGACGGTCGCTGCTCTACATCCAACATGAGCTGCACAAAGAAGAAGACGACGACTGGGGCGGAATCAACACAGCACCGATGTTGAGTTTAAATAAACCCTCGCTGCGTCAACACAAGGCGAAGGTTGGTGGATCACGCAGAGGTTATTGAAACTCCACAGCGTAGTCTGCGAGGTGGCCGGGAGATGGCAGCACACAGCAGTAGGGAGGGAAGCTTCACGAACCCATCTGTAATGCGTACATTTGAACAATATTTTCCGCCTGTGTGTGTGGTGGGGTTTCCTCCGGGTCCTCCGCTCTCCTCCCACACGAAGCCAAAGTCCCATTCAGGTCAATAAGTCTGTGCTCTCCAATCTCCTGGGTGAAAACTGGGCCAGGTTTTTTGCCCAATCCTGGCTCGCCGGCTCAAGAACGTAACGAGTAGCCAGGCGGTGGTGATGGCTATGCACGTGGCTGCCTGTAACCCAGCACTGTGGAGGCAGCACCAAACACAGATGTCGTGAAACTCCCTTTTTCCCGTGGGCGTCGAGGAGAGGGCCCGTGATACCCCGGCTCGCCGGGAGAAGGCGGTGTTGGCAGAGTGTGGGCTACATCTGTTCCATCTGTGTGGGATCGCGTGTTGCACCCTCGCACGTGTGGCTTTTCTCCGGGTGCTTCTTCCTACATTCATTAATCGTCCGAAAAAATAGTAAACAGCTCGCCACCGTGGTGTTAACCTCACGGGAAGCTGCTTCTCATCGATTACAGAGTGTTGGGCTGGGTTGAGGTGGCTAGGAGATGTCAACTACCTCGCCTCGTATGCACGAGGTCGTGGGTTCAATCCCAATCCTGACACCTGCTGTATATTTGGAGTTCGCGTGTGTGTCTCTCTCTCTCTCCCCGTGGTCGCGTGGATTTTTTCTCCGGGCCCTCCGGTTTATCCCTCCACATTTACAATAAACATCGTGAGGTTTATGTGGCTGTTCTAATGTCCCACATGGGAAGCCACTGCTTTGTGCTATCATACTGTACGTGGTCAGGTCGCTTGTGAAAAGGAGCTGTCTGGCTAAGTGGTCCTTACCTGGTGAAATAAAACATAGTGTGCCTTTAGTTTAAAAATGCAAGTTTTTAGCTTACATGTATAAACACACTTTAATTGGCGGGGCGGGGGACATCTTAATATAGAGAGGACCGCGGAGCTTTGGAAATAATTGTTGTGCGGTGCCTGCTGACCGCCTGGTTCCTGCTGCTTTCCATCGCTGTGGTTCCTCGGCGACTGTGAGAGATGCAATTCTCACGACGAGTCACGCGATATGATCAAAATAATGCAATGAAAATAATACAATGCAATTTTTTTTACACAAATAATAATTATAATGAAAATAATTATTTTAATTTGATTCTCTCTTCAGCACACCGATGGGCTAAATAAGTCAATTAATTTGTCCTTTGAAAACGTGACACATTTTTTACTGTTTGGCCGTGTCGGGTGGTGGAGGGTTACAACACATTTATAAATAACGCGATCTGACCCAAAAACCTATATTATGAATATTTATAATGGAAATTATAATTATACATGTGTAATCTCCTTTCTATCGTATATGTGGGGAAACACAATTACATATGCCGTACACAAATGTGGTCTTACAGTGCCCACCCCACCGTAGCAACCAAGCCGAGGTGGAAATTCCACGTTACGATGGCGGGTGCCAAGTCCGCTCAACAATTGACGGCTTGCTGGGGGTATAGCTCAGCTAAACAATGAGCCAAAGATGTCATTGTTGTATTGTTATATATACCCCACAGCGTGACTTCGACGACGAACATTGCGATGTTAAATCACAACTTGATGAAAACACTGAATTCATCTTATTGGTTCTTTCGGTAAAATCACGTAGAAGGGAAGAAATAAAATAATAAAAATAAAAGATAATAAAATAATTCTCACGACGTTTCGGCTACAACGCAAGCGGCCGTCTTCAGGTGAAGAATGAGACACTGCCAAGCTAGGAGCTTATATATAAGCTGAGTTGGAGGTGGAAGAAGAAGAGAGCATTAACAAAAGAATGTGCATATCAAGAGGAATTTAGCATATTCTTGATATGCACATTATTTTTGTTAAGGCGCTCTTCTTGCACCTCCAACCCAGCTTATATATAAGCTCCAAGCTTGGCAGTGTCTCATTCTTCACCTGAAGACGGCTGCTTGCGTTGTGGCCGAAACGTCGTGAGAATTATTTTATTTTATTATGTTTTATTTTTATTATTTTATTATTTCCCTTCTACGTGACTTTACCGAAAGAACCAAGAAGATGAATCCCTGCAGTCACGAAATAATCTTTAAATCGAAATTGAATTATTTTATTTTAATGTTTTATTTTTATTGTTTTATTATTTCCCTTCTACGTGACTTTACCGAAAGAACCAAGAAGACGAATCGCTGCAGTCACGAAATAAGCTTTAAATAGAAATAAAACACTGAATGTTACACATCGCGTGAAGCGAGTTTAAAGACGTGTGGATTATATCGAACCGTCCATATCGCGTGAAGCTGACGAGAGTTCGTACGCCTCGGATGTAAACCTCGCACGGCCTCGCAGTTGTGAGGCGAACCTCCGTTACCTTCTTAGCAGACATCGAAGCGCGAAAATGTTAAACTTTTAAAAGCTTTTAATGAATCGATCGGTGGGGTAGGGAGAGAGGGAGGTTTACATTTCCCAGTTCACATCAGCGGTGCAACGGGGGCGCACCCAATCAGACGGCGGCGTAGGTTCGTCACGTGCAGCCGCGTGGGCCAATGGGAAGCGAGGTCGTCGCGGATTTTTAAAGCGGTCGGTTTATGCGCTGTAGGGAATGTGAGAAGGTGACGGGGGGGACGTGACGTCATCTGGAGGGACATTTAAATGAAAGGGGGGGGGGGGTAGAGAGGGGTGGGGAGCGGTGGTGCAGCGGTTAGCGCACCGTGTGTGTGTAGGGAGCGGTGGTGTAGTGGTTAGCGCACTATGTGAGTGGGGAGCGGTGGTGTAGTGGTTAGCACACTGTGCGTGTGTGCGGAGCGGTGGGGCAGCGGTTAGCGTACTGTGTGTGTGGAGAGCGGTGGTGTAGTGGTTAGCACACGGTGTGTGTAGGGAGTGGTGGTGCAGCGGTTAGCGCACTGTGCGTGTGTGCGGAGCGGTGGTGCAGTGGTTAGGGCACTGTGTGTGAGTGGGGAGTGGTGGAGCAGTGGTTAGCGCACTGTGTGTGAGTGGGGAGTGGTGGTGCAGTGGTTAGCGCACTGTGTGTGGGTGGGGGAGCGGTGGTGCAGCAGTTAGCGCACTGTGTGTATGTGTGGGGAACGGTGGTGCAGCGGTTAGCGCACTGTGTGTGTGTAGGGAGCGGTGGTGCAGCGGATAGCGCACTGTGTGTGTGTAGGGAGCGGTGGTGCAGCGGTTAGCGCACTGTGTGTGTGTGTGGGGAGCGGTGGTACAGCGGTTAGCGCACTGTGTTTGTGTGTAGGGAGCGGTGGTGCAGCGGTTAGCGCACTGTGTTTGTAGGGAGCGGTGGTGCAGCGGTTAGCGTACTGTGTGTGTAGGGAGCGGTTGTGCAGCGGTTAGCGCACTGTGTGTGTGTAGGGAGCGGTGGTGCAGCGGTTAGCGCACTGTGTGTGTTAGTGGGGAGTGGTGGTGCAGTGGTTAGCGTACTGTGTGTGAGTGGGGAGTGGTGGTGCAGTGGTTAGCGCACTGTGTGTGTGTGGGGGAGCGGTGGTGCAGCGGTTAGCGTACTGTGTGTGTGTGGAGGGAGCGGCGGTGCAGCGGTTAGCGCACTGTGTGTGTGTGGGGAGCGGTGGTGCAGCGGTTAGCGCACTGTGTGTGTGTGGGGAGCGGTGGTGCAGCGGTTAGCGCACTGTGTGTGTGTGGGGAGCGGTGGTGCAGCGGTTAGCGCACTGTGTGTGTTAGTAGGGAGTGGTGGTGCAGTGGTTAGCGCACTGTGTGTGTGTAGGGAGTGGTGGTGTAGTGGTTAGCGCACGGGGTGTGTAGGGAGCGGTGGTACAGCGGTTAGCGCACTGTGCGTGTGTGCGGAGCGGTGGTGTAGCGGTTAGCGCACTGTGTGTGTTAATGGGGAGTGGTGGTGCAGTGGTTAGCGCACTGTGCGTGAGTGGGGAGCGGTGGTGCAGCGGTTAGCGCACTGTGTGTGTAGGGAGCGGTTGTGCAGCGGTTAGCGCACTGTGCGTGTGTGCGGAGCGGTGGTGCAGCGGTTAGCGCACTGTGCGTGTGTTTGTAGGGAGCGGTTGTGCAGCGGTTAGCGCACTGTGCGTGTGTGTGGAGCGGTGGTGCGGCGGTTAGCGCACTGTGTGTGTGTGGGGAGCGGTGGTGCAGCGGTTAGCGCACTGTGTGTGTAGGGAGCGGTGGTGCAGCGGTTAGCGCGCTGTGTGTGTGGGGTGGGGGGGAACGGGGTTTAGCGCACTGTGTGTGTGTGGGGAGCGGTGGTGCAGCGGTTAGCGTACTGTTTGTGTGTAAGGAGTGGTAGTGCAGCGATTATCGCGCAGTGCTGAGGAAACGGTTATCGTTCTGTGCTACGGACCTGGCTATGACCCGAGTTCGATTCCCGCTCACAGCTACCAACACCGGTGACGATTATCTGAACCGGCCCTGAGCCTCCCCTATGTCGACTCGGCCTCAAATGAGTACCTGATGCTGTGTGCACATATCGCCGTTAGGGGAGACAAAGGCGGTCGGGCGTTGTAATAGGACACACCACCCAATCTTGTGCAATGCCGGCCTTCGTGAGTCCTCGCAAGCACGACTTTCCCCTGCGGTCTGTTGAAGGCTATATTAGGGGGATCTTTGTCTTGTTGGTTTAGGGGCCGTCCATAAATGACGTCACGCGATTTTGGACGATTTTTGACCCCCCGCCCTTCGTCACACGGCGTCACAAAAAGTCAGACCCCCCCCCCCCCTCAAATATGACGTCACAAAGCTCTGCCCCTCCCCCAAAAAATAAAACATGCTTCGAATCGTTTTAAACTATTGTCATTGTAGTGCGTATTAAATGTGCCGCTGCACTCTAATGTTGTAGGAGAAAACATGTATTACTAAGTATATTTAATTAAGTAGAACGTGTTGTCGATATTTATTTAAAGTTGCGCATTTTGATGTGACGTCACATTTCTCAACCCCCCCCCCTCGTCACACATCGTCACAAATGTCTGACCCCACCCCCCTAGGTGAGTGACGTCATTTATGGACGGCCCCTTATCGTAACACCTCAGTAAGCCGGGCATGGGTAAGCCATACATTGGGGTAAGCCGGACACAATATCTTGATACGTAAACATACATGAGCCTAAATTTGTATTTAAAGCTTTCGTGACTGCAGGGATTCATATTCTTGGTTCTTTCGGTGAAGTCACGCAGAAGGTAAATAATAAAATAATAAAAATATAGGCTTTTTTTCATTATTTCCCTTCTACGTGACTTTACCGAAAGAACCAAGAATATATATACATGAGCCTGTAAAATGAATTAATATAACGATCAGAGAAACGTCGGAGTCAATTGTTAAATGTGCGTGGTTTGCTCTCCAGCATTGCCGGTGGTGAACTCATATAGCGACCTAACGACTCATCAAGAGACCCATCGACTCACATAGAGTCCAACAGACTCATCAAGAGACCCATGGACTTGCATAGAGACCAACAGACTCATTAACAGACCTATAGACTCACATAGAGTCCATCAGACTCATCAAGTGACCCATAGACTCACAGAGAGTCCAACAGACTCATTAACAGACCCATAGACTCACATAGAGTCCATCAGACTCATCAAGTGACCCATAGACTCACAGAGAGTTCAACAGAATCATTAACAGACCCATAGACTCACATAGAGTCCAACAGATTCGCATAGAGACCCATCGACTCATACACAGAGACCCACAGACGTAAAGACGTAGCATTACAGAGACCCATAGAGACTTGCAGAGAGACCTATCGTCTTACATCTAGCCCAATCGTATCGTAGTGACCCACATACACATCAAGGCACCAACAGACGCATGCAGAGACCCATAGACTCACATTGGCCTAGCCACTGGGAGTGAGTCCAAGCTCATCCTTATCTCGGTCGACACGATTATCGCCGACCTGGCATCGTGCGATATCTATATCGTGGTCGTATCGTCATGTCGCGCGAGCACCCTGTTTGCGCAGCGGCACGCCGCCTCGGCATGACACGCCACCAGGCGAGCCGCTGAACTCCAGGTGAGGACAGTCGGGTGCAACGTGTTCCAGCAGAGAGCGGTGGGTGGGAGCGGAAGGAGGGAGGGGGGTGGGTGAGGAGTGAGGTGGTACACGCTGGTTCTCTGGGGGCAAGAATGACGGAGGAGATGAGAGGGGAGCAAAAAGCATTGAAGAAAAAAATTAACCCGTAAAAACAAGGGTTTTCACTATAAATCCTTTATATGCGTGGCATCGGTTTTATTTTATTATTCATTTCTGTTTTTCTTGAGTAAGAGTTTCATTTTTATCACATTGGTATTTTAAATTAAATATGAAAAAAAAAATCCTAAAAAGTGGAAGATTTCGGAATTTTTTTTTCACGAAAATAAATTGTTACGCACAACGAGTCTGTGTGCAAAATGTCAGCTCGATTGGATCACAGGAAGTGGGTTAAAAAACGACCGAAAGATTTGCACGGTCGTAAGCGCGCAAGCAAGCAAGTGAACTTAATATAAAGGATAAAAAAACACGAAATGATGAACGAAGCAAAGTGCCGACTACACCGAGCATCTTCTTGTTTCCTCTGATCGTAAAAAAAGAGAGGGGAGAGGTGAGGATGGGGGAGAGAGGGGGGAGGGGAAGAGGGGGGAGAGGAGGGGGCAGAGAGGAAAGAGGTGAGAGAGGTGAGCATGGGGGAGAGAGAGGAGGAGGGAGGAGATTTAAACAGGGGGGGGGCACATAAAGCAAAGCATTGAAAAAAATAGATGTAAGAGGGGAGAGAGGGAAGGATGGGAGAGGGGGGAGGTGGGAGGAGGGGGGAGAGGGAAAAGGGGGTAGAGGTAAACTTAAATGTTTAAAATTGTACTTTGGGGAGGTAAAACTAAAGTTTGAGAAACCCTGCTGTCATTTTTCTGAAAAGTAATGTTACCTTCCCTTTAAATTTTACAGTAGTGGTTAACTGCCTTAAATAATTGTATCATGTATTTTTTGGAAGTTTAGTCTTGTCATTCAGAGAATGAATTTGTTCGCAATGTGTAATTTTAGAGAATAGTTAGCAGAATCAGTCACAGCAAGTTCATGTATTGGTTTCTTAAAATAAATATTTTACAACAAAAAAAGAGGGGAGAGAAGGTAGGAGGGGAGAGGTGAGAGAGGGTAGAGGTGAGGATGGGGGAGAGAACGGAGGAAGGGAGATATAGGTAAGAGGTGAGAGGGGGAAGCCATGCACACACATTTTTTTTTGGATATCTCACAGCTCAGTGAAGCTCCATGCAGGCCTGGCCACGTGGCGGCTCTGTGCTTCGAGCGAGATCACGTTTAGCAGTTCTCGGTAAAGTGATGCAACCGGCGTAAGTGTTGCATTGCGGGTAATAATTAATGTAGTCATTTTTTTTTTAAATGTGGCATCATGATGAAGGCAGTTTCTACAGCGCCGTTACGTGGTAAGCCATTACAAACTCAAGGGGAACGTTGGGCCAAAGTTTGGTTCCAACCATATGTCAACGTTGGTCCAACGTTGGCCGGTAACGTTGTTCC